GTGAATTTCTTCAGTCATCAGATTGACCATTTCCTCACAAATCGTTTTTGAGATATATGCTTTCCACTACCTACAGCACCATACTTCTCCAGGTGCTGTGCAAGAAAAGGGTCAAATTTTGCCAGGAGTTCCCGTACTCCAAGGTAATTCCCATTGTTGCTCGAGCCTGTTCTTTCATCACTACCTCTGAGAGGAACACCTCTTGATGTTAAAAATTTTAGTGTTTCAACTATACGCAATAGAACTTCCTTCCAGTATTTTCTCTCCAATTCTACTTTCAAAGCCAAATTGGAATCAATTCGCCTTGCTGTAATTGCCCTCACACCCCAAGTAGTAACTGAGATTTTATGCTCTTTGCTACTTTCATGTTCAGCAATTCTACGCTGGCAGTTTTTCCAGTCACTAAGCCCACTAGTAAACAATGAGACTTGCTTGCTGAATAGCTTGCATGGAACACAAAATACATCTCCAGTTTTTGGAGAATACACAAGCCATTCCCTTTTAACTTTTTCATCATTTGCCATTTGACGTGTGAACAAGGATTTGGGCACATATCGAACTCTTTCCTTTTCACCCACATTTTCACTTCTTGCAGATCTTGAGAAGTCACCTTGTTCACAATATATATCAAGAGGATGGTTTAGTAAATACTCAATCAGTTTATCATCAATTGTCAGCCAGTCAGCTGGATCACTTGATACACACAAATCAACACTGACACCTTGTTCCACAGAATGTTTCTTATAAGTCAACTGAGATGAATCGGATGAAGCTTCAGTCACAGGTGGTACTTCCATTGCTGTAGGTGCTGATTTACTTAATCTCTGTGACTGACTCAGCTGACCTCGCTTCGTCATCTGAATCATGAAAGTGAACATCTACTGTGTCATCCCCTGGGAGTTTACTGTCACTGGTACTTGGCTCTGAATCTCCTTTTGGTTTAAAAAATGTTGTCAGCTTTGGAACTGATTGCAGTTGTGCAGCTTTGGCTGCTTTTAACTTTCTCTTTTGTGAATCACTTGGATATTTTTTCAGGGACGACATATTTATCTCATGAGAATCCCCAAGAATAATCTGTAAGCAAAAAAATAGTGTAAGTCTATAAGAGATACCAATATAAAAAAAATAGACAAAAACACACGTAATATAACACTAGTCCATTTAATGCAACATGTAAAATATCATTAGTAAATAATGAGTGCCGCTACACAATATAAAAATCACTGAGCTGAGGCTGAGAAGATACTTGTAGTGTACTGTTGTGGCTGGTTGGCAGAGTCTCTTTATGGCCTCACAACCTACGTACATGTAATATATCTAACACTCAGGATTGAGGTAGAATAGAAAGTCACAGTGTGTTTCCCGTATACATATTGTTGTACAGTACAGTGTTAAAGAGATACTAGGTCGGGCGAAGTTTGCTCAGAGTTCCTGTCGGGCGAGGAGCTTTCTGAGGGAACGTGTGGTGTGGAGCTGTTGAGAGATGTTGCTTGCTGGAGGCGGTAAGTAGAAAGAGCACGATGACGGCCACGTGAGGTCTTATATAGCAGGGGTAGGCGCTGGTTACTGACCTTAACCACCGAGGGCATTTGGGGGGGGGGTCGGCTGGTCAGCGACACTCGGTGTAGGGGAGGAATCCTCTACGTACTGACTGGCTGAGCGAGCTGTCACCAAACCAACGGTAACCCTGGCACGTACTGAACGTGAAACGATCCTGTCCTTCACACGTCAAGGCGCTGAAGGTTTCTTGAACTTTATTCTCTCTCTCTCTCTCTCTAGTATATATGTATGTATAGATAGATAGATAAATAGATAGATAGATAGATAAATGGATAGATAGATAAATAGATAGATGAATAGATAAATGGATAGATAGATAAATAGATAGATAGATAGATAAATGGATAGATAGATCGATGGTGGGACACGGACATTTAAAAAATGTATATATATATATATATATATATATATATATATATATATATATATATATATATATATATATATATATATATATATATATATGGTGGGACACGGACATTTAAAAAAATATATATTTTTTTTTATTATCTTATTTTATCTTATTTTTTTCATTTTACTATAGGGCCTAGTCTGTGGCCCACCTGAGAACCACCCCATGGCCCACCAGTTGAAGACCACTGTGGGCCTATACTTATTATACAGGGCCCCATACTCTGGGCCCTATATTTATTGTACAGGGGCCCCCATACTCCAGGCCTACTTGTGTACAGGGGCCCTATACTTATTATTGGGGGCCCCATGCTCAGGCCCTATACTTATTGTACAGGGGCCCCATACTCCGGGCCCCTATACTTATTGTACAGGGCCCCATACTCCAGGCCTATACTTATTGTACAGGGGCCCCATACTCAGACTATACTTATTGTACAGGGGCCCCATACTCAGGCCCCTATACTTGTACAGGGCCCCATACTCCAGACTATACTTGTTATTGCAGGGCCCCATACTCAGGCCTATACTTATTGTACAGGGGCCCCATGCTCAGGCCCTACTTATTGTACAGAGGGCCCCATACTCCAGGCCTATACTTATTGTACAGGGGCCCCATACTTATTGTACAGGGGCCCCATACTTATTACAGGGGCCCCATACTCAGGCTATACTTGTGTACAGGGGCCCCATGCTCAGGCGCTATGCTTATTGTACAGGGGCCCCATACTCCGGGCCTATACTTATTGTACAGGGGCCCCATACTCTGGGCCTATACTTATTGTACAGGGGCCCCATACTCCGGGCCCTATACTTATTGTACAGGGGCCCCATACTCCGGGCCCTATACTTATTGTACAGGGGCCCCATACTCCGGGCCCTATACTTATTGTACAGGGGCCCCATACTCCGGGCCCTATACTTATTGTACAGGGGCCCCATACTCCGGGCCCTATACTTATTGTACAGGGGCCCCATACTCCGGGCCCTATACTTATTGTACAGGGGCCCCATACTCCGGGCCCTATACTTATTGTACAGGGGCCCCATACTCCGGGCCTATACTTATTGTACAGGGGCCCCATACTCCGGGCCCTATACTTATTGTACAGGGGCCCCATACTCCGGGCCCTATACTTATTGTACAGGGGCCCCATACTCCGGGCCCTATACTTATTGTACAGGGGCCCCATACTCTGGGCCCTATACTTATTGTACAGGGGCCCTTATGGTTGTGAATATATTATATAATGAAATACTCGGTGTACACTTGAAACAAGGTTATACCCTGGCACGCTGCGCGACAAATTAGTTTCAGTGGCCCCCAGATACCGGTGAGCCCTAGACCAATGGCCTACTTGGCCTATTAGTAAATCCGGCCCTGGTTGTTTCGCAGTAGATGTTCCATCATGGCGTCTCTTATAATACTCTCAAGTACTTTACATACTATGCTGGTCAGGCTCACCGGTCTATAGTTGTTCGTAAGAGTGGCGATCGCCCTTCTTGAAGATAGGACTAACATAAGCCACCTTCCATTCACTAGGGACCATTTGTTCATCCAGGCATTTACAAAACAGGATCTTCAGGGGCTCGGCAAGCTCGTTGCACAACTCTCTTGGCACTCTAGGATGCACCATGTCAGGGCCGGGACTCTTATGGACCTTTAGCTTTGAGTTTATCTCTTATAATTTCTTCTGTGAACATAATGTGGGTCAGTGCTGTGTCGAACCGTCTGTTCTCAAACGCAGGAAGGTTAAACGCATCCTCTCTTGTGAACACCGAGGAAAAGAAGCTGTTCAATGCCTCAGGTTTATCCTGGTCAGAATCTGCGTAACCACCATCTTCAAGCCTCAGGTCTGATACTTCTACTCGTGTTTTTTATTTTGACTTTGTATAGCGGTAAAACGCCTTTGGGGGTGACTTGACCTCGCTTGCAATCAGCCTCTGGAATTCCTTTTCAGCCCTTCTACACACTAACTTTGCCTGTTTCCTGGCTCTTGCACACATCCTCCTGTCCTGCCCATCGTTTGACCTAACAAACGCCTTTAATTTCTTGGTTTTCTTAACTCTGCCGATCGCCGCATGGTTCATGTGTAGGGGTTTGGTCTTAGGTATATATTTATTGATCAAATGGGTCACTTTACAAGTTATGATATTCAGCATAGAGTCTGCGTTCTTGTGCCTTAGTGAGTCAGGCCAGTGGATACCCCCTCATCTCCTCCCTCATCCCGTCGTAATTTCTCTTGTAATATTTGCACCTTGGCCTGGTTTTTCATGAACTAGTAACAGTTAAATCTGAATGACATTACATGGTGGCTGGTGCTAACTGGGGCTAGATGTTCCAGTCTGGCCACCATATCCTCCTCGTTTTTTATGAGGAGGTCCAGTGGTTGGGGTGTTTGCTCCCCTCTGTAATGTGTCGGGTCTTTAGCATGATGGAACAGACAATTATCTCTCAGTGTCTACAAGAGAGTAGCGGGGTTATTTAAGTCGCCATAGTTTAAGTCCCCCACTATAAGGAGGTAGCTCGGGGTGGTCATCTATATTAAGGCTCTTAAGTTCCTTTAACTCGACTGACAGACTACCAGTGTCTAGCCTGGCTGACGGCAATAAATATACATTATATCTTAGAGTTTACGAATTTTAAAGCTGTATGAATTTAATTACTTTTTATAAAATAAAACATTATTTATAAAAATAATACTTAAAATATGAAGGAAAAATCTTGAGAGTTATTATTTTATTGTATATTTTACGTATATTATCTCAAGTTTGTGATTTGGGTATAGTAAAGTTATCGATATGTCCGAATCTCTCGCATTAACTTTATTTCTTCCTAATATTTGTTCATCTTTCTCCATTTTCCAATTATTTTAGATTCTAGGAAAAATTATAAAATATAACATCCAAAATAATTCTCACTAAAGATACCAGTTACTACCATAAATCTAAGTAACACATTTATTCTAGGGTTGTGAGTTAGAGCCAAGGTGAAGGTATACGAACACTTGAGTTAAAATACCAACTGTTCTCCATCAACAAGAGAGACACTCGTCAGGAGACCCACCACCAGTTATGAACCTCAGGTCACTCCTAACAACAGGTCGTATACCATATTACAGCATCGATTCACCATCACTGACACCTGGATTAGGCCTCAGAGATGGATGAGTCAAGGTAAATAAGGAACAAGGAACAAGAAACGTTACCTGTTAGTGGGTGGGAGTGCCTTGTTAACAGCCCGGGGTTGTTAAGAGCTATACCACTGTTTTGTTTCATTAAATTAGATAATATTTAAACTTGAGTAACACTGTAACGTAATTTGGTAAATGTTTAGTAGTTGTCAACACCTAATTGATTTTTTTAAGTGTTTTTTCTTCATGGTGTAAATTATTGTGTTAATACATATATGACCATTGCCGTTGAGCCTTTATTGAGATATTGAAGAAAATAATAATATTTCACTTGTTGCCACTAAACGAACTTCGGGAAATTTATAGGGTAAATATTCGTCCATTGGCTGTTCTCAGGCTTTGGTATGAGAATATATATATTTTTTTATCTTTTTCAGTGTGTTTTACTCAAATCTGACCTTCATATCTTGTGCAAATTAGCTGTTTAAAATATATATTTATTTTTTATTTTTCAAAGAAACAGCTAATTTGCACAAAAATGGTAGTCAAATGTGAGTCTAATACACCAAATACACAAAAAGAAAACCTTTTCTCATACCAAAGGAACTAACCTACCTAACCTAACCTAACCAACAAAGAGGAGGAGACAACTGACTTAAGTGAGGAGTATAACCTCAGGTAGACATGGCGGGAACCTGCGGACAGCCAATGGATGAATTTTAACCCTATATAGATCCAATCAGTAGTTTTGACAATTCTAAGATGCCTTTCTTCAATGGCATTTCTGGCGCAAATTACGTTTAAGCGAGATATTTAAAATTTTATTAAGTATGTTTGTACGTGGCAGTACACACCCAGAACATCGAACGACGCGGCGGTACACGCCCAGAACATCGAACGGCTGTGAAGCTCTCCTAGTTAGTTTAGGTTAGGATTGGTTTGTTAGATTAGATGCAAAACTTTTTCTGATGGTTTATGTGTTTTGAACACGTTTACCATGGTTTTTATAGCAAATCTCTATAGTCTGAGATGGGAGGGGATATTTGTCACAGAAACTATTGATTTGTGCCAGAAATTGAGGGTCAAGTTCGTCCATATCACATGAGAAACCATTGGAAAAACGGTTTTACCTTTGATTTTGTATGATGGCAACAAGTGAAAATTAACCCCCAAAAGTGGGTCAAAAAATGCAAAAAACCTGAAAAAAAACTAACCTAACCCAACCCAACCCCTAGTGTGTAAGAAGCTTCCCTTAAGAGATACAGGAGGATAGAGTGATGCGACTTGAGTGAGGAAGTGGTGCAGTATGGTGTCCTCGTCTGTGTGATGTGCGTGGAACATATACCATGCATGGTCATCTACATAGTACTGACACTCTGAATTACATCTCGGACACTTTACAGATGAAACAAGAACACTGTGAGGGTTACAAATATTAACAGCTGCTGCTTCATTGTCCAAAATGCGATGAATAACTTGCCAGTCGGCCAATGTGCAGCTTTCGCACACAAATGCCATCTTCCATTATGCCCACAAATTGAGACTTGTGCTGATTGGCACACGAGTATTATGTTACATCGGCACTCACGGTGATTAGCGCGCACGACTATGACGTCACATCAACTCTCATGCTGATTGGCTGAATATTGTAAAATTAAAGTTAAAATAACTCGAAGACTATAAAATTTCCGAAAGAAACATTATGGAATAAATTAAATAATATTTTTTTCTCCCAATACATGACTCATTATTCAGTTAGGTGTTGGCAACTACTAAATATTAACCCATAATTTGAGCATTTGGACTCGAGGATAATTTAAACAGTGTTCAGTAAATATTTGCCCCCATCACACCTCCGTGTTACTGTGGATGATTCACAGACAGACAATTGACATGAACTGACCCTTTAACCGTTGATTCCTTCTGGGTTAATGAGGCCGGAACATGTATATTGTATAGGGTTTTAGTAGCCAAATCCAATTGTCTGTTATCTATTTATTGAGGAACTATCTCATAAACAGTTCCAAGTGTATATCACTGTAACTTAATCACTGTAGCTATGAGTGTTAAGATGAGGACGGAGGCTCTATTAAAGAGCACTTCTAAATACGTCTGGTTGGTGTGAGGTGTTGAGTGACAATCCCCCGATACCCGTCGAGGGAGAACGGTAATATACGTCCTCCCTCGAGGGAAGACGGAACCATCCACGATGGCTCTCAATAACGTCTTCCTCTAGTCAAGGATATCAAACTACTGCCACAAGAGGTGGCCAGAGAGCCGGCTACTTAATGCCTTAGCTCAGCACTAAGTGACACGACTTCCTGTGGGCACATCTTATCGCGTGCTCTGAACATGCTACCTCATAGCTAGTGGAAAGTTACAGAGGGTGATAGAGTATATAAATCAAATGTAATTAACCCATTTATATAATACTTCTGCCTATAAGACAGAGGCTATTACAGACATATTTCGTCTGAAGGAGAGTGATAGGGTAAAATTATCACTTGTCATCTGCCTACATAAAAAACTATCTGAAAAACATAATTTTAACCTAACCTAACCAAAACCTCTCTCAGACGGTGGCAACTTGAAATCTATTGCTGATAAATTTGTTAAGTTGTCACCCACTGAGTCTTGAGGATTATTTCTGTATTACAATCAATAGTTCAGACAATTCTTAAGCTCTTTTTCTTCTATGAGTTTTTCCTCACAGATGACTTAACCTAACCTGACCGGGAAGCTTCAGTATTATGTGAAATATTTATCCTTGTGAAATATCTACCCAATTTTCCCAACAATATAAATATAATGAAGGAAAATACAAGTGACAGCCACTCCTTGACTTACGATGGGGTTAGGGACCCAAATCCAGGTCGTAAGTCGAATTGGTCGTAAGTCGAAAATGCCATTTTAAAGGGAATTATAAACGAAAATTTTGTCAGTACACAGCACAATTACTAATGTTGGGACTCGAAAATGCGTAATTTGAAAATTTTTTGTTACGACTGGGGCGGTCATATGTCCGGGAGGTCGTAAGTCGAAGAGTATCTGTATTTATAATCAACCAGCAATAACTAAGATCACCGACCGCCACTTTTAAGTCAATATTTTAAGCAAAGAGTTGGCGGATATTCTGTTTTTCATGGGTCTTGTGGCATCTATTTGGATGCACAGAAGGGATTTTTTCAGGTTCTGTGCAGTACAGTATAGCACCGGTGTAGAAATTTCACATAACACGGGCCCCCTGAACCTCCTGGCATATACAAGTCATTTGCGAGGGAAACAACATAGAAGAAAAGTTTAATAGAATTGTCTGAACTGTTGATTGCATAGATAAAATTCTCGAGATTCATTGGGTGGCAACTTATACAATAATTCCAAATTGCTGTAAGAAGTTACTTAATAGGATAAGTCTCAAAATATTTAGTGGGTTTACATTAGGTTAGCACCAGGGTTGTCTTGGACCCTCCCTCCAGTGCCTCCATTAATATGTCTTATCTGTTGCTTTAGATATTATACTGTATTGTAAAGTACAGATATTCCTCTACTTACGAACGAGTTACGTTCCTGAGGCATGTTTGTAAGTCCAACTTACTCTTGTAGATACCAAACATATTGTAAAAAAACGAAAAGATTATGGATATTTAGTGCAGCTATACCCTTTAATACAGCCTTAAAACCTGGCTCACTCTTCTTCTCTTAGGTAATGTTTGTTCTATCTGGAATTTTCTTCAAAATAATCCGGTTTCATCCACATTAAACACCTGTTCTGGCAGGTAACCCCCCTCAGTGATGATGTTTGTATCTCTGAAAGTTTGTAAGTTGAACGTTCTTAAGTAGAGGAGCACCTGTACTTGATAAATTTATCTTTTTTTTCAGTTTGAAAATGGAAGACTACAAGATCATCCGGCAGCTGGGGTTGGGCTCGTATGGCGCTGCACATTTGGCTCATCATGATCCATCCGACACCAAATGTGTCATTAAAGAGATTAATATATCCCAAATGTCTCCCAAAGAACTTGAAGAAGCACGGCGAGAAGTACAGGTACAGTAATGTAATACAAGTTAGTTACAGAATTTTTGGTCATCTTATTTCTCTTTTCTAAACATCTGTCCAAATTTGGATTGAGGACATTATTGTCACCCTTTGCCATCTGTCCCTCCATCATTCCTAAAACAAATTTTGTTGTGAAGGATTTGCCAAACTTCCCTCTTAACCTTTGTTCCTGGACAAGTTTAAAGATGGATGCCCATGACCAGATTTCCAACCAGAGTTCTCAAACCATTGTGAGATGAAGGTAAATCAAGCAACTAAGCTAGTGGGTCTTATAACGCCCTTCACAAGTGAGATGCTTCCCTGTCTGGAGTACTGTCTCCACGTCTGGTCCCAGAGATATACTAGAGACTGTTAGTTAATTGAAAATGTCCAAAGGAGGGCCACCACCCACCAGACTGGTGCCTGCACTATGGCACCTTAGTGACTCAGAGAAATTAGAACATCTGCAGTTGCCTAGTTTATACTATAGGGCATTCCTCAGTAAAATATTCATACAGTACCTGGAATTAGTGAATGCCGCTCCACTTGAGGTCACAGCTTAAGGCTGAAGAAGCCACAATTTCAAAGTGTCAGGGCAAGTTTTTTGGGGATTAAGAATTGTGAACTAGTGGAATAATCTACCATAGTGTTGTGACAGCACCGAGTGTTAGTTCATGTAAGACCAGACTTGACCAACCATGGCATAGGTACAGATACCTGGCATAGGTACAGATACATTCTGGAGCAAGCGCAGTACATGCCCAGTACTCTTCAAAGGTGCATAACACAGATGTGACTGACAACCCAAGTGGCTAACAGGCCGATCAGTGCCAAAGAGGATGAACTAAAAGTAAAGTAAAGAAGGTCATGTGACCATTTATTGATGAAATGGACTGATAAGTATTTCACTACTTTATGATCTTGTTATTTCCAGTGGTGGAGGATTTAAGTTGGGAGGTGCATGAAGAGTGCATACCAGCTCCTTCCCCTCCCTAATTACTTATAAAAGCTTACATGGGAAATAGCCTCAGTAGTCAATAGCTCGGTGTACACCTCTGGGGTTGTTTAAACCTTCTAGCTTCTGTGATCTTAGGGAGTTCTCAATCCCCTGCCTAAGTGAATGTCTCAGACCTGTGATCATTGGTACAGTAAAACCTTGTTATTCATGGGGGTTAGGTTCCAGGGAATGGCGTGAATAGGCAAAAACGTGAATAGCACCCTATACAACTTTAATGCACTACTGTATACCTATACCAAAGAACTGACCAGCCGTGGCAGCACTCATCCCCTCTTTTAATTTATCTAATAATTCCAATTTCTTTGTCAGGGTCATCACTGACTTAAGCCTTTATGTTTCACTTCACTGGCACTGACGAACCCTACGATGGTCTTGTGGTTACTGAAAAGTCTTTCTGGTTTTGACAAGTAATCATGATTTCAGTGATAGGCTTATATAGGCGCTACATACTGTACAGTCAACCCTCACTTTACGCGGTCCCACATTCACGTTCTCGCGGTACCTGCGAAACCGGGATGCTCACTTTCCGCGGTGCGTGTACTTGCTGCGTAAGTGTGTCCAGCTCGCCGCTATTTTAGATTGCCCCTCCCGCCTGCTCGCCTCCGCCTGGGCAACAGCGGTAAGGTTCAATTGCCAGTACATGTCTCTGTTCGTTATCAGTGGCGGCGTCATATGGCGTATCGGACGCGTTGGCCTTTCATCCCTACCTCCCTCACGGTGCTTAGCTGTAATTGGTTTAAAAAGTAATATAGCGTGTTACCGGGGAGGAGAAAAACGCTTGACCCTAGCAGCGACAGTTTCATCCCTCAGGCCACACCGTCTAGCAATCGTGCATCCATTGTTCAGCCAAAATGGCTTCCGGCGATTCCACTCCCCAAAGAGAAACCTTTCCTTGCCCGGACGCAGCACTTCTAAGCCCAAAAACATGGCGTTCCTTAAGCTAAAAGGTGATCACAAGAATCATCCAAGTTAGAGAAAGGAACAAGACAGGTTGATTTGGGCGTGCCAGCATGGTGTGAAACGAATCTCGATCCGGACGATAAGAAGGATACAGCCGGGGAATAAAAGGAGCACACGAACATCCTAGTCTACAGGTGCTTCTATGATCATCATTACTTACAACCAAGGTGCTTCATCAAGACAGAAAAATTACTTATGAAACTCACCAGTGCGTCGAGCGCCCGACGGAACATGGTGAACCGCTCTCTGTTAAGGAAATGCGCCCGTGAACTGTATGCTGCAGTGTCACGAAAGATGGGGAATTACAAAACCCGACGCTAATGCTTCCTCTGGGTGGTTACAGAGGTTTAAGATGAGGAACAAGATCACCAATATGTGATAGTGGTGAAAGCTAATTAACACTGACGATGTTGCGTAGGAATTCCTCGTTTTTCGTGAGATTATGGAGGAAGAACTGATCTCTGCGACGACAGGTGTTTAACATGGACGAATCTGGTCTTTTTTGGAAAAAGCTTCCTTCCAAGACCGTTGTGAAGAATGCCAGCAGATTCAGGAGCTGAAGTTGCAGAAGGGCGCATCACCGTCCTGTTTACCACCAATGCCTCGGTACCTGTAAGCTCAAGTTATCGGTGATCACACACAGCCGCAAGCCCATGCATGTACAAGAGCATGAACTTGACCAAGCTAATGTCCACTGGCTGTTTAAGTTCGATGTAAAGAAATTCTTAGCGACAACAGAATGTGCCATTCAAGATTTTGTTGCTGCTGGACAACGCGCAGGACTTCCGCCCTACTGTTAGATCGTCACTAGCGTAAAAGTGGTCTTCCTTCTCCAACACTAAATCTGTACAGCCTGCGGACCAAGAGTTAATCTGTTGTATGTAAAAAGCTGCATTCTCTACGAAAAATTCAAGCTCTGAACGACTACACCAACACCAGGGAAGAGTTGCGTAACCTGAGTGACACCAACACCGATAGCAAGAGCGAAGACGACGAGGATCAACAGTTGGCAGGGCAACAAGTACTTTTAAAACAATTCTGGAGAATATTCAACATCAAGAAAGCTGTGGACTTCTTGGTGGAGGCATGGGATCAGCTGTCTGTAGCAACTGTTCGTCACACATGGAGACATGTGTTGCAAGGCATTCCGGGCGTTAGGCAGAGTCAATCTGTGACTGGTGAGGTTCAGACTGTTGCAGTAGCAGTGGACCTTGCCAGAGAAGCTGCGCAGAGTGGTACAGCTGCAGGCTTCTCCGAGACCACCAACGACGACATCCTGGAGGTGATAAGGGATCCTGATGTGACTACCGACGAGATGGTAGATGATGATGACGTCAGTGAAGAGGCAGGTGGTGCGTCATCCCAAGAAGAACACCGCTTATCCCATAGTAATGTTAGGGGTGCCATCGAGTGTATCGAGAAAGCCAAGCTCCTCCATTCCAACGACCCTGATGCAAACAGGTATGAAATCTTCACTACCCAGCTGTTGAAGACTATGGAGCCCTACATCAAGGTTTATCACGACAACATAAACACCAGCCGTCAGCAAAGCATAACAGAGTTCTTCGCCTGCAACCCACCACAGCCAGCCCAAGCCAGTGATAGTGACAGAGGTAGAGACAGTGAAGATGACTTTGAGGGATTTGTCAGGGAGGCCCTGACAAGTGTGGATGACAGTGATGGTGACTCACCTGAGGGCCAGTAGCCTGCCCTCTGCCTCGGAACCAGCCTCCATCCCCGTATGCCGACCCATCTCTTCTACTAACGTAAGTGTTAAACCTAACTTTTAGTTTTCCTAACCTAACCTTTATTTTTCCTAACTTAACCTTTATTTTTCCTAACCTAACCTCTTCTATATTAATTGTGTGTGCATACCATCATAAAGTTGAGATAAAATTTTTACTACAACATAGTTGTGTGTCGTCAAAAAGTGGAGTTTGGGGGTCGGCCCGGTCTCTATTTCAATTAATCCCATATGTTATGTTGTTCACTTTACGCGTTTCTCACTTTCCGCGGTACCCTGTGGGTTGTATTAACCGCTTAAAGTGAGGGTTGACTGTATATGATAGTTTGCTTTTGAAAATCTCGGTGATTAATTATTAAATACAGTACAGTAAACACCCTAAGTATTGGACACGTGAGTAATGACACATCCAAATAATTACACAAATCTTGGGAAAAAATTATTTAACATTTCAAAAAAATATCTTATCTAACGGGTCATTGTTATTATTGTGAAGCGATGAGGCGGAAACCACATGGTCCCGCCAGGCCAACCTGCATCTTAACAATACTGTACAGAATAACGAAGGATTGGAACCTATTCCCTTTTACTCATTGTTAAATCAATCTATAATTCGACCCCAGCTTTTGAGAAATACCAACTGGGTATAATCCTAGACATAATTTGTAGGAAGACAGCAAATTCACATCAATGCGTCTTGCCTGTGACCACCACCACAACAGCTAATGCTACGAACAGTCTTATCAACTCTGAATCTAAATTCCCTCCAATTACCAACTCCTATGAGAAAAAATATTAAATACAGTACTACCTGTACAGTGACCCCTCGGTTAACGAACTCAATCCGTTCCAGAAGGTCGTTCGTTAACCGAAAAGTTCGTTAACCGAAACCATTGTTTCAATGGGTTTTTGGGTAATTGGTTCCAGCTCACCGAAAATTTCCTAAATTCAACAAAAATGGTAGAAAAGTTCACTTACTTTGAGGTGTGTATGTAGAAGGCTCCTGGATGATGATGATGATGATGATGGGATTTAGAATGGGGGTGGAGGAGAAGAAGAAGAGAAGGCATTGGGGTGGAAGAGAAGTCACCCCATGGCGCCATTTCACCCATAAAATTTTAGCTCTCGGTGTAATTCAAGATTATTTTCTTTAAATCAACACTGCACTGCATTATATATTGTCAATATGTAAAATATATTTCAAAATGACCAATAATTTGCTTGGAAACACAGAAAAAAAGCGTTTAGTTGAAGAGAGACTCGAGCAAGATGTTACCTCCAGTGAAAACAGAGAGAGACTAACTCCTGTTTGCTGTGTTAAGAGGCTGGATGCCGCGCATTAAACTAGTCACTTTACCTTCAGTTATGTTCAATAATTGTTAAAATGACTAAAAAATTGAATATTAACCTTTTAAAATTTTTGAATAGTATAAACTTCTTGGTATTTACTAAAATAGTAAGGAATTTAAGCCCTAGAACCGATTAATGTATTGGCGGACTGATACTAAAGCTGGTTGCCCGGTCAGTGCAAGTGAAAACATGTTGAGGTCGGTTCGTAAGAAATTCGTAAACCGAATTTTTGTTCGTTAACCGAATTGAAGATCCTGATGGAAGGCAGTTCGTTAACCGAGGCGTTCGTTAAACGAGGGGTCACTGTATATACTAGGGCTATTCAACTTGTTTTAGATGGGGGGCCAGATTATGAAATTTAAATTGACAGAGGGGCCATACATTTTTTACTTCTAATTTCTGATCTAAGCACATACATACACATCAACATAAATGCAACAATAGACAGCTTAAATTATCTTTTAAGCATTTTTATTTATCTCTTTTGCACAGAATTTATGCATTTGAATATACACAACAATGCAAAAATGAACACATTGCGATTAGGCCACACTGAGCTAGTGACTGAAATACACCTACAATATTTCTCGATTTAATGAACTAATTCGTGCCACCCCTTTCCATTAAGTTGAACTTTCCATTATTTTTGCTCAATTTAGCGAACTAGTTCACTAAATTGAGCATGATTCCATTAAATTCCGCTCAGTCTGAGTCCTGCCGGCACCTCGTGTGTGTTCACTGCCACCTCTCAGTCAACTAACTACTGTGCTTAGGCATCATGTCAAAGGTCTCTCCGAAAGGAAGCGGTTTGGGGAGAACTTCAAATGAGTTCACTTGGATAAAAGTTTGAATAATAGAAAAAATTTAAAACAAACACCGAACCCCTTAGTTTAAGGTAAGCCATGAATAATGTTTCTAATCTTTCTGTGTACATATCATGTGTCTGAGGTATGAATTTTAACCCTTCAAAAATACTATGCACATGTACATTAGTTCGACCCTTTTCATAAAATTTATAAATACTCGAACTGCACTTGAGTATACTGTATATGATTACCATCCACATCATCCACTTTATCTCACACTGCACATGGCCATCCATACCACATGCACACATACGTTGGTACTCGGGAGCTTTCAAAAGTCTTTGTGGCTTTGAAAGAACTCAAATCCTAGAACCTTACCTACATCTATTAACACTTGCAACTGGATTTCCTGAAAATCTATCAAAAGTACATTATAATTATTTTACCAGAACTGATTTATTATGAGCTTAAATAAGCCAGTCTGTTAGTGTAACATGGTGGCTGTTGTTTAGAGCAGTTGTGGCTCCCTGCTCTTACGGACGCCTCAATAACAGATTCCGTCTGATTAACATCATCGGTGGCTTAATTAGTCCGGTACTTGGGGTTTTTATTGTATACAAATGATCTGATGGATGGTGCAACAACTTGTTCAGAAATACAGCCTAAGTACAAGTACAGAATAAGATGCAAAATGCAAATTTAGTACTGTAATTCCCTTTATGGTGACAGTACAGTACTGTATCTTAAAAGTTAGTTCTTTATTCTAAATATTAATAGAGATGTACTTAACAAAGAACATACAATATCTTTATCATTTACACCTTGTAATGTAATCTCTTTAATGGTTACAGGTCCTGTCAAGCTTGTCCCATCCATACATTACTCAGTTCCGGGGCTCATGTGAAGAAAATGGCCGTTTGTCGATAGCCATGGACTACTGTGGGGGCGGGGATCTTCACACCATCATCTCAAAGAGAAAAGGTGTACACTTTCCTGAAGATCGTGTTCTTGATTGGTTTGTACAACTCTGCCTGGCTATAAAATATACCCACGACCGCAAGATACTCCACCGTGACATCAAGTCACAAAATATATTTCTGACAGATGATGGTAAGATCCGGTTAGGAGACTTTGGGATTGCCAAAGTTTTGAACAATACCTCAGACCTGGCAAGAACCTGCATTGGTACACCATATTATTTGTCACCAGAAATGTGTGAGAATAAACCCTACAACAACAAAAGTGATATCTGGGCCTTGGGGTGTGTTTTATATGAGATGATGACGCTTAAACATGCCTTTGAAGCTAATAATATGAAAGCACTTATTCTCAAAATAATAAGAGGCATATACCAACCTGTTCCTGCCCGTTACAGTCGAGACCTTCGCTTGCTACTCACTCAAATATTTCAGCGACAACCACAGGCCAGACCATCCATATCGGTTATCCTTCGGAAATCATTTATTTTCAAGAGAGTGCCTCGTTTCATATCAGGATGTGAGGAGGAGGAATTAAAAGCTTCTTTGATAAAACGTAGGTGTACTTTGCCAGCCTCGGTACGCAAAATCCCGGTCCCGAAACGTCCTCATGACATAACGGATCCTTCTGCCAAATATGGAGTAAGTCAGTCCCTCAACAAAAGGGGTACCTACAAGTCTCCCACAAAAGCTACCTCAAAAGTTTATAAGCAAGTTTGTGGCGTGAAAAAGCCAGTTGGAGTGGCCCACAGCCGGGCGGACAGACTTAGTCAGGAGCACCGGAAAAAGTATCAAAGTGAAAATAGTCTCTTGCCAAAGGATGCTGGAATAGTTGAGCCAACAGGAGATAAAGATAAGAGATTCCAAAGACGATCTAAATCTGTACCTCATGCATTCAAACAGAGTAATTTAAAATCCCAGCAACAGAATGTCAAAAATAAGCATCCATCACCAGTGAAGCTACAACTGATGTTAGATAGTGCAGGGTTTAAGAAGAATGCTGATGTAGACCCTAAGAAGATGGAAGCTGGTGAAATAGTAAATAAATCCAAGGAAGATGAGGAACCGATCAAATCACCCGGGGCTGAAGGTTGGCTCGTTGATGAATTTCTATCAAAGAAGTTGCAGGCTGCATACATTGACAGAAAACTTGCAGAGGCCCTAGTGCCAACTAACACTTCCGAAAGTGAATCTGTCCACGATGACTCTTCTACTGCAGCTATGGGTAATAAGAGAGATAGACAACAGCAAAATGGGAGAGATTTTGTGATTAAAAATCTCATTGCGCAGAGGTCTCCAAAACTAAAGGTTAGACCAAAAAACAAACCAGCTCCTCATGTACGTCAGACAGAGAAGGACCAACGTAAGCATAGTGATGATAGCCATGATGTGCAGGTGCAAGAGACAAATCCAAAGGATGTGAAGGAGTTGGCAAACAAAACCCTCAAACATGATAACATATGTAGTGATGAGGAAGGTGATGAAGATATACCCAGGTCATCAGCTGAGGAACTGAGGGAGCTGATGCAGGAGAAAATGAAGAAATTGTTACAGGAGCGTACGCAGAAGATGAACCAGATGATATCACAGCGGCGCCAGTGGGCATATAAAAGAGAGAAGCTCGAGTCTGCACTCGTAAAAAAGAGAGAAAATGTATTAATAGTAGAGAAAATGGAAGAAACCACTAAAAGCAATGACATAGAAAGAAGGGAAGACCGTGTTTGTGAAAGTAATCTCCATAGTTGTGTGCCTCCATCTGAAAGTCAAGTTGAATTAGAGGATAAAGTGTATAATGGTATAAATGCCACTGTCAGAACTGCACCTGCAAATGAATCCCAATTTAATGAAGAGAAGAAGAATAAATGTCAAGAGCCTGATGAAGTCGTCAATAGGGATTCTTCTACAAAACCAAAGCCTCAGAGAAAGAAGAGTATCATGTCTCCTGATATCACAGAGACATACATGAATGAAGTACCTAACAACACTCTGGTTAGCACAGTTAGAGAAAGGATAACACCAGAAAAGTTGTCTGTAATTCCTGCTGAAAATCTGAACAATCCTCAAACACAAGAAACCCTTATAGATAATACCTCTGTTGGAATACTCTCTGAACCCCAAGAAGAATTGGTTTTCAATGAGAAAAATAAATCTCTTGCATATCTAGATAAGTGTGGGGATAGACCCAACAATGGTAATCTTCAAGTGTGTGAAGTTACAAGTAAAGAGATTGTTATAACCTGCACAAATGTTCCTGAAAAACCAACAAGTGTCACATTAAGTAATGATGATGGAGGAGTCTCAGGAAAACATGGTGATACCGCTCTTCAATCATCAAATACACAAAGTTTAACCCCAAGCAAGCGTTCACGCTGGAGGAGTGCCGATACTGCCGGCCTTGAAAACTCACCTTTAGAAACCACTGCCTCAGAAATGGACTGTACGACCTCCTCAGACTTGGTTGTTGTATATAAGGAAATGGGTGAGCGCAAGCAGTGGGGAAAACATAATAAAGATATCATTAGTGTGTTATCCAAGGCACAGATCATAGAAAGTCCGATGAATCAAAGCTCTTCAAAGAGAAAAGAGAATGCAGTGAATGAATTGGAAAAAGTAACTAAGGAAATCAATTTCTCTGGCAAAAATTTAGAGGAAGTCTCAAATAAACCTAAAGTGTTGAATTCAACATTCACAGTTAGTTTGAAGGACTGTCATGGTGACTGTGAACCTGGGCCTTGTAAAATCGGTTTAAATTCTGCTCCCGATGTTAAAGCCCCATGTAAGATGAAGCCTTCGGTACCTTTACCAAGTGTGTTAAACAGCACGTTTGAAGTAGAAAACAAGAACACTGTCGATAATAAAGGAAAGTTGAATCAAAACAAGGAAGAACTTGGTAGAACACAGACAGTGGAGACCGCAGGTAGTGTACTGCAGACCAACGTTGACAAGAGTTGTAAAAACAAACAGTCTGATAAAATACTGCATCCCAAAGTCAATGAGACCGTGAATGTCAAAAAGAATGGCAACAGAATAGGAAATAAAAGTGAAGGCATAAGTAAAATAGAAAATAAAGAAGAAATGGGTAAAATAGAAGTTGTAGGTAAAGCAATCACAGAAAATAGAGAAGAAATCGGTAAAATAGAAGTTGTAGGTAAAGGCATTAGAAAGTTATCAACATCTGTAACAAGTGAGACCGTACAAACCCAGAATGAGGCAGTGAAAAATGATTCTCTAATAATTGATGACACTGAGAAGTCTTTTAATGATACTTACACCGTTGATGAGAAATTATCTGAAAGCACTTTCACAATTCCAAAAACACCAAGCAAGAATGCAGACAAAAAGGGAAAAGGCCGTTTTCTTGAGAAGTTGCGTTTGCACATGTCACCACTGCCAAAGAAAAAACAGATTGTGGTTGACAAATTTTCTGTACCTGCACAAGTAACCCCTCGGAAGACTATAGGTGATTTAGGCTTGGGCGCAGAACACAAGACAAGTACACCAATATTAAAAAAGAAAACAAAGATAAAGTCGGGGCTTGTGGGAATTTTACGAAGGCTTTCTTCCCGGCAAGATATAAATGTAGACACTGCAAACTGTATGGAGAAGGGCAGTATTGAAACTTGTGAAAAGTCTTACAGTGATAGTGAATTATCAGGAGATACCTTCACTGTTGAATGTGATGCCAAGACACGTAAAAGTCAAGAAAATGTAACAAGTAATCAGGTGAATAATTATGAAAATATGTACAATAAAACCATTTCTAAAACTTGCAACAGAATCTTACAAAGTAGTGAGACAGACAACAAGGAAGACAAGGGATATATGTCATCACAGAAAACTCTTGAAAATGAAGGGAAATCAAAATCTCAGAGAAGAGAAGCTACTAACATGAAGGACGGGGGTACAGGAACTATTGGGGAAAATATTGAGCCTGAAGAGACCATGACAATCAAAAACAATGAATGTCATGTGGGGAAAGAAATCTCAGGGAATATTCAGAGTGACAGTGATACATTTGTTGTAGGGAAGGACATTACTGATCAACAGAACTCCAAGTCTATAGATACTAAAGTGAAGGGGACTGAGGAATTGACATTTCTCAAAGACAATACCTTGGCAAATAGTCTCAAAGAAATATATTCAAGGGATAATGCTAGTAAGGACAACGTTTCTGTTAATAATTTTGACAATGTGTCGAGTGATAGTGGTCTCGATACACAGAAGACAGATTTCACGTGCCAGATGCTTGATAATGTTGCGAGTGACACACAAAGTGATCTTGATTATACATTAGGGAACTTTAATCGGCTTTCCCCATCCCAAAGCCACTCTTGTGGATTAAGTGAATGTAACCTGACATTTTCAGAGAATTATAATCCTTCAGCAACCTTGAAGAATAATGAAGTATCACTCATACTTGATGAACATTGCAAGAAAACTGAAGTGGGTTCTGTCGTTTGTGTAGAGGACTTGGCTAACACGTTATTATTAGATGTGTTTGAGGAGGCGAGGAGACAAATATCAGGGAGTGAAACTAGGAGGAGGGATCAAGATATTAGTCCTATAACACCTAGGAATATTCAGATTAATCTTAAATGTTCAGGTGAGGTTAAATATCAAGGTGTGCAGCATGAGTGTGGGGTTGAGGCATTGCCAACCTACAGTCAGACTCTTGTACCAAGGCTCGGAGCTTCACAAGGTCTGGAAGGTGAAAGCATTCAAGATGGTAATAGAAGTAAACATATATCCCAAGGTGGCACATCAAAGTATAATCACTCGGAAGTTTCAAGAGGCACGAGTGGTAAAGTAGTGTCACACATTACTTCCAACCCTTTAGGTCGTATAAGTGATAGTGATTTGGCTCACCACACCAGCGAAGATATAAAAGTGACACATAGTTCAGCCAGACCAAGACCAACAGTTTTGTGTATTAGTTCCAACAACAATGAAAGACTTTTTGCTGACCTGGCACATTCATCTATTTTACAAACACAACAGAATGTTAAAGAGGATGGAAGGTCAAGGAAAAAGTTTTTGGAAAACAAAAATTATGAAGAAATTACTACAAAGCAAAAATATTTGGGCACCTCAACTACATTACCACAACAAAGTACTGTCCAGTCAGAAGCTTCTAAGAGCAATATTGATTTAAGAGACAGTAGTCCTGGAGTAAACAAAGAAGAGTTTGAATCCAGATGCAAAGATTTTTTGTTTCCATATCAATACAGTAAGGATGATTTTTACTCAGTATCAGATGAGGAGAGCGAAGACTTGGCAAATCTACGGCGGTCCATGGAACTCGTCCTCTGTTCTGGGAGACAAAGCAGGGAGTCTGATTGTAAATCAGTTGCTTCATCATATACGTCATCAGAAGTGTGGCATTTAGGTGTGTAGATTTCTTTGCCTCCTTACACTTCATGGGCTATTAATACAGTACAGTACATGATTGTTATTGATGTTTGGAAATATACACTACAAGCTTATTATAATTTGTTTAATTTCAAATGTATGAATTTCAGACCGTGATGGAGCTGTGGTAATGGGTGGAGGTGGTGTGTATGGCTGGATTGAGGAGCAGAGAGCTAAGCTGGAAGATGTGCTTGGTCTAGATCTCTTCATGAAAGGTCAGACATTTACATCCTGTGACCACTTCATAGTCATATACACACACCCCCCTATATATATATATATATATATATATATTTCAATGGCCCAATAAAGCACGCGGACTTCTACATATAATCAACACCTCACACCGCCAGGATTCGAACCCACGATCTTATGAATGAGACCAGGGAACGTTACCTCTGGGCCACCAGGACACTAAAAGCAGTCCTAGGCTTGTATTTCACACAAAGCCTGTTCAACGAGCTTATGGCGCCGTGAACCTCAAATGGGGACTACCCGTGCCGCTTAGAGGTAACGTTCCCGGTCACATTCATAAGATCGTGGGTTCGAATCCTGGCGGGATGAGGGAGGTAAGGATGCGTTGCCCAATCACAGTCCGATACGTCATATGACTCTCCTTTGTTCTTCCTAATTTTCTTGCCATTTGTATTTTGCTATGGTGCCACCTTTCCATGACAAATCCCTAAGATGTCACTTTTGCATCATACCACATAAGACTATGGTTAAGAATTGACAATATTAATTTTAGAAATATTGGCTGAAATTATTTTACTAATCATTGGGTTTCAGTAATACACAGCTGGAAAATTTGCTAATCAAAGTTATTGTATGATATGTGGTGTGTTTTCACTGCTCAGTTGAAGACCTTCATACAGTATAAATATTTTTTTTTATCTATGTTGTACTGCAGATAGAAGTTGAAGAAACAAATATAGTGCATCGTACTGTATGGCATTTATTAACTCTTTCCTGTTACTTTATGCACCTTTATGCACTTTATGCACCTTTATGCACTTTATGCACTTTTCTGCCGTACTACAGTATTTTGTACACTTTCTTGGAGATTTCTGTACAATATCCCTTGATTCATCCCACATAAAAGTGGAAGAGAAACAAAGGTAATTGATAGATTATTTAATTAGCTCCTTGGTAGTACAGTATACCTGTAGTCTTCATTTACGCGGTCAATTGAACCCGTGGAGGTCTGCATAAAACGAGAAACGCGTAAACGAAATAACAGAACATATGGGATTAATTGAAAGAGAGACTGGGCCGACCCCCAAACTACATTTTCTCCGACACAATAGTACGTTGTAGTAAAAATAACATCTTAATTTTATGATGGTTTGCACACACAATTAATATTTAAGAGAAATACAGTCGCCGGTTAATATCCATTCAAATAATGGACTCAACCCCCCCCCCCTCCCTCTTTCCACGCTCTTGAGAAATGTTTGGGTGAAAACACTAGGTTTTTAGGTTTAGTAATAAATAATACCTCAAACTGTGTTTAGGATAATATAATTGACATTGCTAGATTCCTTGCAAGACTGTGAATAATTTGAATATAAACGTCATATATTTTGCACAAAAGATAAAATTTTTGCTTTCTCTAATAAAATTCTTAAATTAGATCTAAAATTTGTATGTCTAATGCAAATTTTAGCTTGTTTATATTCAAATTAATCACTATCTTATAAGAATTCCAGCAATGTAAATTATATTCTGGCCGGGTAATTTCTATGAATTTTATGAGCTAAAAACAAATATCTTCAGTAAATAAACAAATTATACTTCACCCAGACACAATACGTTACGTACGTTGTAGTAAAAATAACATCTTAATTTTATGATGGTATGCACACACAATTAATATTTAAGAGAAATATCAATAATATTAGCTTTTTTAACACTTACTTAGTAGAAGAGATGGCTGGGTACACGGGGATTGGGGTTGGTTCTGAGGTAGAGGGCAGATTATTGGCCCTCACTTGTATCACCTGTATCACTATCCACCATAGAGGCTTGCAGGGCCTCTTTGTCAAACCCCTCAAAGTCCATATCCTCGCTATCACTGACTTGGGCCGGCTGTGGTGTGTGGCGGGTGAAGAACTCGGTAATGTTTTGTTGTCTGGGCGACCTTGTGCACACCCTGCCCGCACCACTTCCCGCGCAAATGATGGAATGAACCGAGTAAATAAAAATTGTCGGTCTGGCAAGGTGCCGAGTAAATGACCAAACGCGTAAACCAAATCCGCATAAATCGAGACTATACTGTACAGTATTTTCTTCCTGCAGATAATGATCGAAAGCAAGATACTGTAACTTTGTTGTATCACATTTTCACATACTGTATGTATATTATACTGACATGAACACTTGTTTCAGCGTACCATCATCTGGATGTGGCTCAAGAGCGGGAAGGATGTGTGGTTGGAGAAGCCGTTAGTCAGGTGGAGGAGATGCTGGGGAGAGACGCTCGTGACTTGGCCCACGACATCCTTCAGCTTGTTGTGTCAGAAGCTGTGTACCACAACCAGTGATGGAGACTTAAACTCTGTCACAATACCCTGCTACTGCATGGTATTTACACTCAACAAACATACAAGATAAGTGAATTTGAGAGAGTATTTCTCACAAAAATTTTTACAAAGGAATGATAAATATTTCCTACAAAATTGAATCAGAAAGGACTGATAAAGGTTTAATTAGACCAGTTGTTTTAAAGTGTATCTAATGTACTGATGGTACTATAAAGAGAGTTAGAATTAGACATTCCAAATATATTTCCAGCAGATGTGGGTCAGAAAATGGGTGTTACTGCTGGTGGACTGAAATGACAATAAACAAAGGATAAAGTTTGTCATTATATTTGATACTCTATTCCATGAAGGGCAAATCCATAAACCACAGATATTAATGGGGATAATGTCTTCTTTAGTATAGTATAGCTTAGACTTCCTGAGTTCACCATTAACATAGTCAAACAACCATAGATAGGGTGTTTGTGGTCAGGTGAGGTTTGGTTGGTTCATGTCCTCTTTAAAATACCTTGAAATTCTTTAGTGTTTGTTACTTTTTCCAGGATAATAAAATATCTAACTATCCAAATAAATAATGTAGTTACAGTTAAAGTCTACAAAATGGGTTGGTTATGGCTGGTGTACTGTACTGGCACGAACTGTAATATGTAATGAAATTGGTTTAGTAGTTGAGGGAAACTGTTCAACTGTATGGTAGTGTAATTGAACTTGACTACAGTACGGCTTCCTGATGGTTATGTGGGGGAGAAGTAAATTCACTTGAGGATGACATCTATGCTGACAATTAGTTGCCAAGGACTTTTTAATTTTGTATTCCTTCACTTCCCGAAGATGTCTATGGCAATCGAGAGAGATAATTTCATATAGTGTAATGAATTCAGCTACAAATAATGCATCAATTTTCCATGTCATTGCAATTAAACTAGACACTGTGTTAGCTAGTCTCATTTGGTGTTATAAGTGAGCCCCAGTTTGTAATAACCTCGGACCTAACCATTTGGATTTAGGGTGTACTGTACCCTTAAAATGTCCCATTCTTAAGGAGCCCCAATACTGATGGTTAGGGTATAGTACAGTACATGGCATATTTTAGGAGTGAGGACCATTTCCCCTGCAACCTCTCTACAAGTTAGGTTTTTTTTTTTTTCATAAATCATCTAAAGTGTTCAGGGGTTATATGAGGGGTTAAGAGTTGATAATGATCCTGTTTTGGGAAGTGTGTGTGTGTGTGTGTGTGTGTACTATATACACACACACACCAAAAACATTAGTGTGTAGACTTAAAACCCCTGATATGACCCAGAGTAAGATAGTGTAAACAAAACATTATTATTACTGTATATTGAAATAACTATTGTATGTCTGTAGCATTCTAACTTAGCAGCTTTATTTGTACAGTAAGTTAGGTCATAATTTGTGTCCTTTTTTATTTAGTTTATCTTGTAATATAATCTCCTCATATTTAGGTGCAGCTTGAGGTCTGTCTTCCCTTGAAAAGTTTAAGACTGTATGTAGCAGCTTGAGTAGCCTTATTGTGAAGTAAAATTATGGCTTATATGAAGATTAGGCACCCCAGCTTATTTTACCTAGTGCTTGAACAACCCTTCCCTTCCTTTCCCTTCCCTTCCTTGACATAACCTTCCTTAACATAACCTTCCTTAATGTAACCTCTAACCTAACACCCCCCAGAAGGCATTAGGGTGTTTAATCAATAGGTGAAATGAGCTGAAGTACTTTGTCTTCATGTGATGCACAGCTCTTACGTGAGAGAGACTGAAAAATGCCTGTGATATATTAGCTCATGACAGTGATGTAGTAATACAGTACTACAACTTTTTCTTTTATCATATTCATCAACCTTGAAGTAGGATATGTAATGCTATGTGGAGCTCCAGGCAGTGTTTCTGGGTTATAGACACACTGTATAAAGAGAGGCTGAGGGTAATAATGACAGTGGTAGTACAGTAATAACAGAGAAATATTATGTTGAACGGTTGGTCTTATTTTTAGAGTTGGTTTGGTAGAAGTTTACTGTATACTTATAATGATTTTTACTCACAGCGAGGGAAGTGTGTGCTTGAACTCATGGCTCTGTAGGTTTAGTCAAGCATTTTTACTTTGGTGTAATAACAACCACTTGTTCTGTTGTGTCAAAGCCCAACATTACCTCTTTCTGTCACTCAGGATGGTGTGTGTGTGTCACCCCGTCATGTCCGAGTCTTGTATTGGCTCACTCTCACCCCGAGGAACTTGACCTTAAAAAAAAAAACATCATAATGGGTTTTAACAGATTCAGGTTCCTTTAGACATTAGTATTATGTCCATACTAACAAAAAATTTAAATTTCTTAACGGCCGGCCATTTCCTGTGTAGTGGTGTTATTACCAACATGTCAGAGAGATCTGATATAGTGTTTTAATTTCAGCTGAATCTCCCGTCGGTGAACTAACAGAATAAACTTATCTAGTCATGTTGGTGGGATGCATAAAACTGTGAACAAAAATATTTTTTAGTTAGATACAAAATAAAATTCCATGTTTTGAACTTATGAAGAATGTAAATGATCTGATTTTATTGTTAACTATTGAAATCAGATTTATATATACAGACAGACCCCGACTTACGACTGCTACGACTTACGACCGTCGGGACTTACGACCGCCGCAGATTTTTTATTAAAATTTTTTTTTTTTTTTTTCTTCAAATGACACGCATTTTCTATACCGAAACCTTTCCAGTTAATGTAGTCTCCATGTATAATTAGAAAATTATGGGGGCCCCATGTGCATTCAGCTGACTACATTAAAGGTAACTGCTCAGTCACACTAACCATTCATTATTATATATTACTTTCACAGTACTGTATCCATTTCTCATTATTCATTACTTTTACTGTACTGTATTTCATTGTAGATTATTTATTAAAAAAAGAATACAAAAATTTTTTTTTTTTTTTTTTAATCTATGTCGGACTTACGACCATGTAGGACTTACGACCTGGATTTCGGTCCCTAAACCCGTCGTAAGTCGGGGCCTATCTGTACTCTGTATATTATTGTATACTGTACGCTTTAACAGAAGGCAATTTCTATGGTTGCAGGTCAAAATAGCTGCAGTCTTGTTAAGCCCCAACCTAACATACATGTAATTATCATCATTAGAAGTACAGTACACTACTATTAATATTGAGACTCACTAAGACTGGGGCTCATTAAGACTGGGACCAAATCATCATGGAGAAGTTAGGTTGGGGCCCATTTGACCAGTCGCCATATATTTTGGCATCTATCATATTATGATTATAATTGAGCTCACAAGATTAAAACTTGCTGTGAAATTATGCATATAGGCAATCAAACTGTGTACAGTACTGTTTTATTATACTGTAGTGTACGTAAACAATTGACTTTGATGTAGCACTACAGAAGCTCCAGTAATATACATTTAGATATAATACAGTACATGTGTTCTTTGTAGACAGAAATATAGTTTTTTATGTATAATTCTACTGATTTGTCTTAAAATAATTTTTGGCGGCGTATTAATACTCGTTAGATGGCAGCCTCTACAGCTGGTGATCAAAACGTATGAATATGATTGGCTGCCAATATTAGTGTTCACTTCCTGAGGTTGAAGGTTCCCAGGGAAGCGACAGTACAAAAAGGTTTATGAAATTAGGCAACATAAACTACCAAAACATAGTTTAGAAATAATATAAGGTCATCAGGGAAGGCTAGGTTTGTTCTTGTCATCTGCCGTTTTAAATATTTTAGTGCCACAGCCACCCTCAAGACCTCCGACCTATGGAAAGAACACACCAATGACAGGTTAATGAGGTTTTATGTCCATTTTGATTACCATTTAGAGGCCTGTCAAGTTTCCATATCATGGCATACTGCAGCCAAACTCAAAATTGTAATATCAAAGCCATGTCCAAAGTTTACTTATTGTATAAATAACTGTTTTAAACCTTAAGCATACAAATGTCTTTGAAATACTGATATTTTTTTATATTTTATTCATACAATACAGTAGTCTGGAAGTAGAGATAAGTAGATTGAATTTAGTTTGTGCCAAGATTTACTTTGATGGATCCTGTATATTTTTTTCTAGTACGTGATCAACATTCCACACATTGTCAAGGAACCTTCAGAGGACAGATGGATGTCAAATAACCTTAAGGTCAATAAAACAAAACAAAGCATATGTGGTGGTGTCTGCCTTAATATGATGGTAGTCAATTTGCTCGTGTCAATATAAAATCAAAACTACACTGGGCACCATCTTGTTTAGCATAAAGCATCATTGAATTCCTTCCAAATCAACAAAAATCACGAATTTTTGTAATCAAGAATGAAATTAACACGGTGCTCAAGGTGGTATTAGCACAAGCTATAGGACAGTGAACCACCTGTTATCATGTGCACATACATATGCACAACATCACTCATATCTGATATTTATTCATTCACTCACCATAATTAAACAGTATTGTGCCATAACATAGTCACTCATGGAAACTGTTTCCTGCTGCAGCACAGGGTTATGGGAAGCAGGAGCAACACTTTCATTTATTTACTCTCATTGTTCTTTGTAGTTGTGCAAGTGTGTTATGTTGGGGTGTATCTTCTATCACAACAAGGCCCCACAACATCATATAAATATACAACAATTACTCCTCTTGCTCAAATGAATTAATTTAAATAGTTTAAGAATATTACTTCCCCTTCTTCATTTAGTAAAATTGTCTCTTGTATATTGATAAAAACACATTGTTTGAGATAACTTTTTATCTTTACCAGATCTTTCCTGCTACAGTAAGGGTTGGCTAAAGTCAAGATTTACTTACCATCCCTTCAGCCAAATTCACACTAACCTAACCTAGACCCCCAAGTTGCATTAGGGTGTTTAATTACCAGGTTAAAGAAGCTTGGAACTAATCTTCAGTTGATCCTATGTTTGTGTGTGTGAGACTTCACCGGCAAACAGAGGGCAGTGGAGGTCTAGTCCATTGTGTAATTACCAAATCCGATAATGATCTAAAAGACTTCTTCAATTTTGCCCCAGTATGACGAATGGATGCTGTGTAAACAAATACATTACAGTATAATCTGTAAACACGAAGGGTGACTGAATTTTTTACTGTATTGTTTATTTAATTTCAGCCACCTTACCATCTTCTGTGTCTTGACTGATGTTTTTCAGTTGTTATAAATATTTGCATTATGAAGAGCTGTGAATGGAGTATTTATATTTGTTGTCTTAGCCTTTGTCACTTCCTGATCTTGTCTTGTGCCATTCTCTCCTTCCATTTATCACCACATTATTAAGACTCCTGTTTCCTTTGATCCACCCCAACAAAGTGAGGGAGGAGTATGGAATAGATTCTCTGTACAGTATATGAGCCCACCCGACAACTTATATTTGCCGACTGTGATGTTTTGGCAGTTGTGTGGTAAATAGTCAAGATTATGTATGGAGCATTATCATTAACAAAGATTTAAAGTGTTAGGTAATCTAAAAGCTCAAGTACCAAAGGTAGATTCTTCTTGTCTAGTCTAATATACATATAGATTGAGAATGACATAGGTTAATTAATTTATTTTTGAGGTTATCATTAAGACTGGGCCCCAATCATAACAGTTAAATTAGGTTAGGTTGTGGCCCATTAAGTCTGGCACCCATTGTGTAGCCACCCATTAAGGTAATAAATCAGTTTGGTTGCCAGGTGAGTGTCAACCAAAGTACTTAGTCCTTAGGTATTATTTTCTTAGACCTCATAGACTCGATGAGTATTTGATACTTGATATTTTGTCATTTTCCGCATAAATCAAATGAACATTCCTGAGTTGTGTTTGATAGGTATGTATATTTTGTATAATAGAGAGTATTGTATATATATATAGGTTGTAAGTCTAATGGGTCCCAGCCTTGCCTATGCTAATCATTCAAATGGATCCTTTAGGAATAAGACCCTATTGTGATGGTTAGGGCATGTTCAGTAGGTACAGTACTGGGTCCCATTTGACTAGCCACCTCATAAATGTATTCTCCTCATATACGAGCTGACTTCTCCAAATTACTGTGACTCTTTTTTTTTCATTCTTTTCCAAGGTATTCAGGCATTAAGTCTACGGTTCTACGTATAATTTGTTACACTTTTCTGCCATATATCTGTAAATGTACTGCACTGTATCTCAATATCTTTTAATATTCTCCATGTCGTCAGTTCTCTATCACATCCAGACCTTGTTTTTAATTATATTTCTTCCCATCTTGATTGTCACTGCTACTTTACCATTATTACTTGGGGATTGATAACTGGATTTTCGACTTTAACTTTTCTCCTTTTATTTATTTTCTAGCAAAAACTGTCACATACTGTGCTTACGTGATATTTTATTTCTTATTAGTATTAGAGATTATTTTTAAAGGATCCTATATTTCTTTGTTTTAAGGCTTTATTTTATATACTCCTGTTTTATAATTAGAGACATGATAAAGATGTGTGTGTGTATACTGGTCTCTTATTTCTTAACAGAGGAAGAAGTGATAAAAGAAGATTTTTATTTCTTTATGAAATTTTAAATATATTTTGTGTTTTAAAGGTATTACCCTATTCTTGTGTATTATTGACCTTGGTGGATGTTTTTGTCCCGTGTCACCGAGCAGTAAGAGAGACAACAAGACCGTAGCTCTTTTGGTTCACCATTAATGACGATGAACAAAACAAACCAGCTAAAATAACTTAATAATCCAACAACATATTTTTAGTTACATTAGATATATTGAATTTGTTTTATCTAATATCAGTAATGGTGCAATTTAGTTATTCCATATTATTGTCGTTTTTTTCTGTCTACTGTACACTGGTAAGTCATCTATTCCCATAATGAGTACTGTTACTTAATGAACATAAGAACAACATAAGAATGGAGGAAACTGCAGCGGGCCTATTGGCCCATACTGGGCAGTCCCGTTTACACCCAACCCCTATTGCTCATATAAGCATCCAACCTATGTTTGAAGCAATTCAGCGTATTCGAGTTAATGATGATATTTGGTAACTTGTTCCATTCATCCACTACTCTGTTTCCAAACCAGTGTTTACCTATTTCACGCCTAAATCTAAATTTGTCTAATTTAAAACCATTGTTACGAGTTCGCTCCTGGTTGGATAGTTTGAGTACCTTTGTAATGTCCCCTTTGTTTAGCCCTGCCTTCCACTTATACACCTCTATCAGGTCGCCCCTCGCTCTACGTCTCTCGAGGGAGTGCAAATTAAGATGCTTTAACCTGTCTCTATACTCAAGGTTCCTAATGCCTGGGATTAGTCTTGTCATTCTCCTCTGAATTCTTTCCAAGGATTCTATATCCATTCTGTAATACGGTGACCAGAACTGAACTGCGTAATCCAGGTGTGGTCTCACAAGAGCAAGATACAGTTTTAGGATGACCTCGCTAGTCTTGTAACTAACACTCCTTTGTATGAACCCAAGTACTTTATTAGCCTTGTTACGAGCAAAAACACATTGTTTACTTGGCTTAAGGTTCCTACTTATCATTACTCCTAAATCTCTCTCGCAGTCGGATTTCTCTATGGCATCGTTGTTCATCTGGTATCTGGTTTCCCTGTTTACATCTCCTATACTGAGTACTTTACATTTGTCCACGTTGAATTTCATCTGCCATTTTTCAGACCATTCGAAAATTTTGTTTAGATCTTCCTGTAGTTTTGCGGAGTCCTCGTCAGATTTAATAACACGTCCTATTTTAGTGTCATCAGCAAATTTACTTATGTTGCTGTCTATGCCGATATCTATGTCGTTTATGTATATAATAAATAATAATGGTCCAAGTACTGAGCCTTGGGGAACTCCACTTGTGACGTTGCTCCAATGGGACTTAGTGCCGTTAATGCTCACTCGCTGTTTCCTGTCCTGTAACCACGCCCTAATCCATTTAAGGATGTCACCTTTGATGCCATGAGCTTCTACCTTTCTAATTAGTCTTTCGTGGGGACTCTGTCGAAGGCATTGCTAAAGTCGAGATAAACCACATCATAATTGTGCCCCTCGTCCATCGATTCGAAAACTGATGAAAAGAATGTTAATAGATTAGTTAGGCAAGAATGTCCGCTTGTGAAGCCATGCTGGGAATCATTGATCAATCGGTGCTTCTCCAGGTGATTTCGAATAGAGTTTGAAATGATTGCTTCCAGTAATTTGCCTACTATTGATGTTAGACTGATTGGGCGGTAGTTAGAGGATAGTGATCTATCCCCCTTCTTGAAAATTGGTATTACATTCGCTATCCTCCAGGATTCTGGTACTACACCTGTTTTTAAAGACATGTTAAACAACTTTGCTAAGGGCATACTAAGCTCTTCCTTACATTCCTTTAATACTCTGGCAAATATCTCATCGGGACCAGGTGACTTATTAGGCTTTAGTTTGTCTATTTGCTTACTAACATCGTTACTAGTCACTACTATCTCCTTAATTTGTTTTCTTCACTATCTCTGAATAGAGTCGATTGCCTCGGGTATCATGTTTAAATTTTCGGTGGTAGAAAACTGTTGAAAATATTTATTCAAATTGTGCTCATTCTCCGTCGTTATCAGTGAGCTGTAGTCTGACACGTCGATGGTCCAATCTTTTCTCGTGTTTAGTTTGATACATTTGGTAGAATCCTTTGGGGTTTGTCTTCGCCTCCCTTGCTATCCTTACCTCATTATTCCTCTTTGCTTTCCTTATCTAGGTTTTAACCCTACTCGCCAATACCCTATAATAGTCCCGGAGGTGAATTTCGCCACGATTTATCCTTCTACCTATAGCCTTCCTTTGGCCAATGATGATCTTTAAATAATTATTTATCCATTTAGGGTCATTGTTGTCTGATCTGAGTTTTTGTATGGGTATGTTCTGCCTTTGTGCATTAAGTAACTCACTATTTAAATTATTAAGTGGAACTTCGGCAATCTCAGATCTCGTTATCAGGTGATTGTCTTCTGTCAGGTTCATGGCCAAGCGCGGCTTACCCCGTCTCTCCAGCTGCCTCTTCCCAAGCTGTCAAAGTGCCTTCTGAAATCTGGTACTTTAGTGGAATTTTCCTTCGTCTGCGTGAAAATCTAACTGGAGATCCGAATTTCATTGTGATAAGCTGTTTGCAAGTTCATTCCCTACACCGACATTGCTAATGAGGTTTTCTCTGTTCGACAGAACTAAATCGAGTATATTACTACCCCGGGTGGGTTCGGTTATATGTTGACTTAGGAAACAGTCCTGGATCGTTTCGAGAAAATCCTCCGATTCTGAGTTACCAATAAGGTCAGTCCAATCTATTTGGCCAAGGTTAAAGTCGCCTACTATACAGACTTTGTTGTGTATGGAAGCCCTGTGCATTTCATCCCAGATAAGTCTCTCATTGACTCTATCAAGATTGGGAGGTCTATATATTACTCCTGTGATTAATTTTTCCCTACCGTCGATTAATTCTATCCAAATTGTTTCTGTATTCTGCTCAATTTTTATTTTCTTATTTATGTCACACTTCAGATTATCCCTGACATAGATTGCTACTCCGCCTCCTTTCCTGGTCTGCCTATCGGTATGGAACAATTTGTAACCCGCAATTTGGTATTCGACCGGTAACTCACGTGAGTCTAGGTTGATCCATGTTTCAGTGAATGCTATTATATCGATTTTTTCGGTACATACCAAGGCCCTAATATCATTCATTTTGTTTCTCATGCTTCTACTGTTCGCGTAGTATACATTTAAGTTAGTCGTGTTCTGAGTCCTCCTTTTACCGCGTTTAGTTTTAAACTCCCTGTCTAATTTAGTTTTGTCATCATTCCTAACACTATTTCCCTGTAATCTTTCGCCTTGTTTACCAGCTCCCACTGCAGTCTCCTCCACCCCCGTGCCCATATGTTCTCTTAGCAGTTTAAAGACTTCCATATCTTTTGAACTGCCCCCTCTAGAGCCCCAGCCAGGGTTGCTACTCCATCCCTAGACAGGTGCACCCCATCCCTAGCATAAAGGTCCCTTCTGCCATAGAAGTTACTGCCTGACGATCATTAAGTCCACTTATACACCTCACCTAACCATAGACAGTACTAACCAAGTGCAGACATAATATCAATGAATTAGACAATGTGAATAATAGCCATTCTGAGTAGGCATAATGAGGTCAACTATAATGTTATTAGTAAAACTGGAACACTTGATGGTGCACCAGAACTAATAAGAAGAGTATACAGTAAACAGATGTGTATGTCATGAATTTCTTGAGTTCAGTTTTGGCACAAGTTGGGGATTGCCTGAAGTTCCACCACCCTCTGCTTATTTCACCTGAAGATTAACCACCCAGATGCTACTTGGGAAGGGGGGGGGGGGATAGCTTGAGATCACTAGGGTGGTCTGATCCAGTGAAGTAAGTTGGGGGTGTAAATCTTCAGATGATCCCAAGTTTGCTGTGTCATCTGAATAAAAAGTTCTTTCAGTGACTGCGTAAGAAAAAGCATATATAGCTAGCTTACCATCTTCACCATATATACAGTAAAATATTACCAATTTTCAATAGTATATCAAATGATTGATGCTACTATAGCGTGTGGTCTATAAAAATATCTTTAGTCCAACCTGACTTGATCTAACCTTGTCTAAGTTGACCAAACCCAACTTCACCTGATCTGACCTAAATTATCTTGTAGACTACACGCTCGATTCCCAGGCCGGTGGAAAAGTTGTTTGGACATATTTCCTAGCCCTCATTGGTCCCAGTTCACCTTGCAGTAATGTAGGTACCTGTTGTAAATCGAAAGTTGCAAATTCGTATTCAGGGAAAGTTGTTGCAGCTTCCATTAACTTGACAAAAAAAATCGCAACAATTGGGGGCGCTGGTGGGTAGAGCGGTACCGCTCTTGTCTCGCAAGCAAGATGTCATGGTCCGGTGGAAAGTTGCTCGGACGCACTTCTTAGACATAAACCATTGACTGTTAAAGCTTCTACGCCCTTAACTCATGAGACATAAAGGCAAGCATGAACTTAGCATGCTTCCCTGTTGGGCGCTGTAAACGCTTCTGTGCTTCACCTTACACAAGGATGTAGGGAGAAAAAAAAGTAGCAACAATTGATTTCACAAAATTTTCATTCACTCCCCAATAAATTTGTAAACTTAGAAAGTTGATTACTTATGTTGATAATAAAAATTTTTAATAGTTCTCATAATAACACTAAATATCTTATTCATAAACCGAGTGTTATATTATATAATGATTTAGCCCACCTCAAGTTAGCCAGTGTTAACCTCTTGACCACGAACAAGATGAGCCACCGGTTATTTTTTTAGTTGACATGAAATAGCTAAACCATCCTCGCTGAATTTATATTTACCTTGAATTTTAAGGTTTCATTAAGTTCAGGTTATCTGTTTTTAATAAGATAAAGGTGAATCTCTCTATTCGTAGTCCATTTCTAACATTAGTAATCTTGTTAACCCAGCAACCCCTGTAAGTGTTGACGTCAGGCGCTGATGCTTGTTGACAGATTATTTGTCTTAAAATTATAAATAAACCTTTTTATTAATTTAGAAAAATATATACACATATATTATTAATATCTTAATTAATTGTAATAAAATTATTTATAATTTGTATATTAACCGAGTCGCTATAAAAGGTTATTATAATGTTCTCGGCAGTGAGGTGTGAGTGAGGTGGTCAACATGTCTTCCTCTGACTGGGAGGAAGTGAAGCGTCTCGCTGCAGATTTTCAGAGAGCTCAGCTTGCCTCAACTGTCCAGAAGTATGAGATCACTCTATATGTTGCCGTGTTCTAGGCCTAAGTTATTTGATCATGGTAGGAAGGGTCAACACTCCTCTAGTGACCAGTGAGGAATGTGTACCATATGCAACAAATAATTTACTAAGTGAAAGGAAGGAAAGATTGTTAAGTAATTATTATTAATAATCTTGAAACAAATACACACTGAAGCAGCAGGTATACAAACGGTGGTAAACGAGTCACTTTAACCAAAGGTAGTCCAGAAGAGTTAAAACTTAAGCTTGTTATTTTGTTACACTTAAAACAGACTGAACATAACATAACCAATGTCTTAAAATTGTTTGGGTAAAAATTCTTGGTAAAATTACAGTTTCGGTCATCCACCTATATGGAAGTGGGAACCAGGGGTTTTGGGTGCGAAAAAACAGGATTTCAAGCAAACCTAACCTAACCAAACCTAACCTAACCTAACCTAACCTAATCTTAAAATCCTAAAATTTGCTGGATGACCAAAATAGTAATACCAGATTCGTTATTAACCACAGAGATAAATTAAGGTAAAGATTCAGATTCATATGTCACCATAATGGGAAATTCATAACCAAATTCTTTAGTGTTTTGCCACATGTTTTCCTGAATGTCTTTTTATGAAACCTCTGATTAGTTTGTTTTAACCCTTTAGCTGCGAGAGGTTACCCTAAACTGAATAAAATCGTCTGGCGGTAGCCAGAATAAATTGGCAAGTGCGGGAAATGCAGCATGAGGGTTAATGTATAAAGTGAAAATACTGAAGCTAGAGGCACCGAGGAAATAAGTGTGGCGAACAGGAGACAAAACTTAAACAAATTTAGTATTTTTTTTCCTTTAGATTTGGTTAGGTTTGGTTTATTTGAGTATTGTGGTCTACTTAATAAATGGTTCTCACTCATTCTTCAAACTATACAGAAACGCCTCCATGTAACTGACTTCTCTCTCCATGTAATCTCTCTTACAGGTTCTTTAACGGGCAATGTTCGGTGGATTTGGCATCCTGTGTACCGCCGGCAAGGCCGTGGGCTCGTAACACTTGTCTTGCCCGCGGTGCCCACCGTTTCTCTGTGGATGTCGGTCACACTAGAATAACCCGTTATAGTACATCCTTCTTTCCTCACACACCCAAACTGTGGAATGCTCTGCCTTCTGTGTTTCCACACTCACTTCAAAAAGCTGGTTTTCTGTCATCTTTGCTGTGAGATTAATATAACTTTTCTTTTCTATTTTTAATTTCTTTTTACTCGTATTTTATCACCCCTAGACCCCATTGTGGGTCGATAACCTGTGCCCGGGTGGGCTTTTCCCCGTAAAAAAAAAAAGATGGGGGTTGTCACATGTAACGGACCCTTGATATAATGGACTTTTCTCTCCATGTAGCTCGTTAAATAGAGGGTTCACCGTCGGGAAAATGAGCGCATGAACCATTTATAAAGCAGACCAAAATATTCCAGCAAATCAAACTGAACCAAATCTAAAAGAAAAAAATCGTAGATTTGTTTGGTTTGTGTCCCGTTCATCACACTTATTTCCTCCCATTGTATGTTCATGGCATGCATTAAAGCAAACTACAGGGTCAGAGAAGGTCTCATCAAAAGGCATCCAGGAAAAAAGTGGCAACGCACTAACCATTTGCCAAACTGTAATGTGATTCAAGCATGAAGTGAGGATGGCAGTGTCATTGCAGATTATCGGAAAGAAACTGTGTTGAAATTGTGAACAAGTTAGTTGAGCTCGGGCTACTAGACATCTACCACACCAACGATGGCAAGGAATACATCACTCCAGCACAACTCACCAAGGAGATCCAAGACGAGGTCTTTATTCATGGGGGCAAGTACACATTTGATTTCTTGTTCATTGAATTTGGAAATAAAAGATATATTTTTTAATGTTCTTCAGTTTTAATTCATTCTTTTCTTTCTCATGCAACTGATAGCTAAGTCTGTTTACAGTACATTTATATTTGAATCTTTTCTTTTTTTAAGAAATTGTGTTATAGTATAAAACAGTTTTTGTGTTTCATCAAAAGGAATACTTTACCTACTCTTGATGCAGTACTGTATCCATCAAGCAAAAGTTTTAATCAGTACATATGTGCCCCCAGCCTTCTGCTGCTTATTCCTATATAAATGAGATGGCCAATTAAATTGTGGTGTTATAGTGGTACAGTATTTATAAAGAGTGGGTCTAGTACTTATGTAAACATAGTACAGTATACTGTATGTGTTTTAAAAGCTGCTGTACTGTATCTCTCACACCTATCATCACACTCTTTCTTGGTAAAAACAGTCACTATGATATAAGGATCACTTACCATCTTTGTTACATGATGAGGTCAACATAACTGACCATCATAATGGTTGTGATTCATCTTTTGATTTTCAACTGCATTATTCAAGAGCAATTCATAACTTTTAGCTTATTGTTATTTTTATATTTGACACCTTTGATATCAGGGCATCACTTCAAAGACAATTTTATGACCTGTCACCAAACTTGTTTTTAAATATTCAATTCCAATATACAGTTTATGATACAGTACTAGTTACACCTACTGTGTTGTGTTGGCTTGGCTGAAAACAAACAACATAATAAATGTTTTGCAAAATTGACTAATGGTCTTAAGATTCTGGTTCAAACTTTGTCTAAGATAATTAATGTTGTGCATTTAATTATACTGTTTAGAGTAAATTTAACAAAATTTTCTTTGGAAATCAATTGTAATTGAACCTGATATCATTGTTTTATGTTGTGTTCAGGCCGGGTGAACTTGGTAGACCTGGTGGACGTGTTGTCTGTGGACCACAGTGTAATTGAGAAGCGAGCGTTGGCTCTGGCTCACTCTGAGTCCAACACCTGTTTCGTCCTTGGTCAGCTGATAACTCAGGATTACCTCGATGCCATTGCTGAGGAAATCAACGAGAAGCTTCAGCAGGAAGGATCGACTACAGTTGCAGACCTGGTGAAGCATTATGAATTACCTGGTGACTTTATGCTTGAGGTGAGTACTGTAGTGCTTGCTCTATGGACACAGTAAAACAGCTGACTGCAGTTGGTAATGATGATAATACAGTACAGTATATGTATATATCTTAGTGTTTAGTTTGGCTCTCAGATTACACAGCAGACTAGATAAAAGAGTTTAACAGCAAGCACAGTACAGTACTGAGTTAATATTCGTTTAGTGGCTGCTGCATGACTTTCATCCTGATTACTATTTGTTTAATGACTTTGATTTGGTTAGGTTGGGTTTCAACAGTGCTTTGGAAGTTAAAATTTTTTATGTAAAATATATCTAAATACACAAAAAAACTATTCTCAAACAAAAAGGAGCCACAGCCATTAAACGAATATTAACCCAGTACAGTATTGTAGATGAAATATTTTATGTGGCTGATAAGTAGGTATTGGCATCATCTGGTTATTAAGAGATCATCACTCGGTATTTGTAATAAATAGATTACTGTACAGGTATCCCATGATTTAAGATCTTCTTATCTAACATATTTGCTTAAGCAGTGGTGATGTATTAAGACTGTCCCCCTATGTGATGAGGACCAGGCATGTTCTTAATGATGATGTGAGTGTTGTTTAATTGTGTTTTATGAATATTATTAGTGTAGGAATTTTTTTCGGTGATACATGTGTGTGTGTTGGACTGGCTGGGAGCGTAGCCCATTGAACCCCTGTTATAATGATTCTGATTTACAATACTGTACATCGACCTGTGATTGGTTTTGAGTAACATAACCCCATGCAACTAGGGGGATACTTGTACTCTCTTATTTTATTTTGATTTTTTTACCTATGAAACCTTTTCCCACTTAATGCACAGTAGATAGAAAGAAGAGTAAATACACTTACACATTTAAACACACACACACACACACACACACACACACACACACACTTCATCCTTGACCACCGAAGGGTCAAGACTTATCTGGAGCTGGTCTGGCAGCTGCCAGGTTAACTGTTATGTTGGTACATACCCCAACTCCCTCCCCTCAGCCCCTCCTCCCCATAGGAATATCAGCAAATTCTTGCCAGAAGATACAGTTTCATTTCGGAAAGGAGTGGAAACAGTGATGAACAGTGAAACAATGCAGCAGTAACAGTAACAGCTGAGAGTTATACCCAAGTTAACCTTCACACAGTAAGGTCCCAGGTACCTAGTGATAACTGCCCATGAGACCCAACAACAAGCGGCGATGTGTTAATATTTCCACGATAGCGAGCCTGGAACCACACCTGACTGTAAACCACTTGAGTGAGTGAGGTCCTGTGACACCAGGCCACGTGGTGGCCCCATGACGCTACAACGCCACATAGTGCATCAGTTGCTACAATATCATGTGAGATCCCTCATAACACCATCTGTGAGGGAATTACTACACTATGTGTTTGCTGTTTAACACCTCAGCTCACATGACCTACGTGACCTCCACTGTAAGCATTAATTTGTATGTTCACAGTATGTCCTTTTACCTTTCTCTAATGAAAGCTTTGTTTAACATCCCCCCTCCTACCCCCATGACAATGTATGTAAGACATATTCATTATGTCCAATGTATATTTTCAGCCTTCGAGCTCCTGAAATTTTTCAATAAACCGTTAATTATTATTACACACACACACACACCATTCATAATCATTGATTCACTCTTACAACTACAATTGATGTGTTATGCTAAAGTACTCTCCATCTACAGCCATGATCCCAGTACAGTACAATAGTTAGAAGTTGCTAAAAAGAAGCAAGTCAGTTTTTATTATGTGATGGTTTTATGCTGTTTGCTGATGTTAACGAGGAAGAACCACTATTTGAGTAGTGTTTGGTGCCTCCAGGTTGTTGTTGAACGACTGGGTACCATCATCCAGGGCCAGCAAGACACTCACGACCACACTGTCATATTTACTAATGCTTTTGTGGCCCGACACAAAGCTCATGTTCGAGGCGTCCTGTGTGCCATCACACAACCAACACAGGTGTCAACAATCATCGCACAACATGGCTTCCAACAGAGGCTGTTCTTTAGTAAGTGTTATGTACTGTATTATATACTAGAGTTATAGACCCTTGTTCAACTCTGAAATATGGGCTGGGAAAACATAAACATAAGTGATAATCTAATATATATGTTTTTATTTTATTTTATCCAATGTCAATTATAATGATCATGATACATGTGCAAGTTGCATAAGTATACTGTGCACTCTGCTTATTCCATTTCAACATTTTACATTAAAGTTTCAATTGCAGGTGTTGCTGAAAAACTGATTGCAACAGGCCGAGTATCTGGTGCTCTCACTGGGGGACGGCAAATTCATCGGGCTATGTACATACCCAGCATATATTCACGGACACAGAACGAGTGGGTGGATAACTTCTTGAAGCAAAATGGATATCTTGGTGAGTGAATTATATTTGGCATTGTAAATAAGGAGGCCCAGGATTCTCTTTATACGTGCTTATGTAAGCTGAGGAAATGAAATAGTATGTGTGATTACCTTCGGTTGTCTTAACTCTCTCATGTTGTTTTCTACACTTGTCTTTCATTTTCCCCTTTTCAGTGAGATGTTTTTACCCCTTGATCTTCTCAGTACAAAAGAGGGAGGTGATTGGCAATAGGTACTGTACAGTAGGTTGTGTTATCTCAAGAAGTATTTTATAAAAGAAATACTGTTACCGTACCATATTTTACGGCATACTGTGTAAGATGCACTTTACTGTTACTGTACCATATTTTACGGCATACTGTGTAAGATGCACTTTTTTGTCTGAAAAATGGCGAAAAAATCAACCTGCATCTTATATGTGTTGTTGTGGTCTCCCGTAGGCTAATGAGTCTCCCAGTTGCTGTCTCCAGTAGGTTAAATTCTACCTAACCCAACTTCAAAATTTAAAAATTTGTAGCCTACTCAAATACATTATTACTTTTAATTAATAAAGGTAAAGAATTAATGTAAATATAAAAGCTGGATTTATAACTACAGTACAGTACTGATGATAACCCGAGACGATTGACTTCCGTACAGCAGGCACCCAAACCTTCAGGGCTCAGCAGTAACAGTTTCTAAACTCTTACAAGCAGTACTGTCTATTCATGTCATACAGTACCTGCAATACAGTATTTATCTTTAAATATACAAATACCTGATACAAATGAAGATGTATAGATAATTTTCTTTCCTCATTTGCATCTATTAACATCACTGGCTGCATTGTTGCCAAGTTAGACTCATCACTGCAGCTACCAGGCCAAACTGTGTGGTGTTATGGTTATTTTTCAACTCATTACTTTGGGAAGATACTGTGTACATAACTTTAATCTTCTTCTTTTATACTCGGTAACATGCGCACACTATCACACATACAGAATATGCAAAATTTATATACCCCTGTATATATATACAGTATATATAAAATAAATAATTATCGTGAGATCAAAACATAGAGGGAATAAACATTTCTTTGTGTATTAAAGAGTTCACGCTGAGTGGGGGGGGAGGGATCTCGGCTGTTCTGAGTTGTCTCTTGTTTGTAGTGAAACAATTGACAAATTTTGTCGTCCAGCAGCCAAATGGCAAAACTTAATTTTTTTCTTCAATATATTTATTGGTATTATCTTTATTTATTCTTCCCATTACTGGTATATATAATTTTAAGAAAACTATGGCAACAGGAGGAAAATACACATTTTTCCCAAAGTATTTCCTGTTGAAATTGGAGGTGACTTTTACATGCCTGAGCATGTTATATGCCATAAAACACAGGATACACTGAACAGTATAGATTTTTTCCCTTATTTTGTTTATACTCAAACATGCTGCTATAGAAGAGTAATGTACTGAGTGGGTTATGGATATTTAGGATCTTTTTGTGGAGACAAACGCTGTAGCATTATATATATGTTTCAGCATTTAGAATGAATGAATGAATGACAGTGAATAACAAAGTCTGTTGCTCTTTATTGGAACCATCCTTTACTGAAGTAGGAAACATGATTAAAAAATATACACAGTATACAGTATAGTACTCTGTTGCACCTTATTCCAACCTGTGGCATTGTATCTGACAGAGTTTGAGGCTCTGCGGCGTTTAGAGATAAGTGATCCAGAGGGACACATTCGTCGACGCTTTAAGGATGAAGATCTGACCTTTGTTGGTGAGGTGTGTGTTGGGTCAAGTCTCATTGATCAGATTGATGCTGCTATTGATGATGCTCTGCTGTCTGGAGGTTGGGTGGACATCTATGTGAGTACTCTATGTCACTTGTATGTCACTTAAAAGTTCACCTTAAGACAATAAAACATTTCGTTGTAGGTCAAATTGTCCCAGTCTTGATAGGCCCCAACCTAACTTAATCTGACCATTAGGATTGGGGCCAATCTAATTGACCATAGCCCTGATGGGCTCACTCCTAATGGTTAGGTTAAGGCTTGTGGTATTAGATCTAGAGCCCATTTGACTTGCAATCATATGATCCTTCTATTAGCCCAACTTATATTAATCTGGATTTTTTCCCATTAATGCATCAGGTTTGATAGAAATTTTAGTATTTTTGGTGAAGTCCATTATCTGGTGGGTGATTAACAATGATATAAACAGCACCACTGCTGCACTAGTAATTTGAATGTTCCAGACTTTTTCACAGCTTATAACTCTTATTACTTTAAATTGCTGGAAGTGCATAATGGTTGTAACTTTTTCCCTCATTGTGTTAGAGTCGAGCAATAGGGAAAAGAAATAGTATTTGCCAATCTTTTTGAATATAGTTGAGTGGGCAGCTTGTGAATGCATTAATTTGAACATACAGAATTAGATCTGGATATTCGTTTACTTATTTTGTAGATGTAATATGACAAGATCTTTGATGAACTTCAGTAATCATTATTTCCCCTCCACATATTGAGGGGTTGTGCCTCACTTTTTCTCAGTTGACAATGGTAATCTTGACCTTTTGAGGCAAACTGTCATTTCTGTAGTTTAGTATTAATGTTTCAGTAGTAAGTATATCTAGATTGTGTATTTTAACAGCCACTGCTGCCTACAGTCTTCAGCCCAGAAGAAGGGAACCAGCTTGTGGATATTGCCTTAAAACGCCGCCAAGATAAAAAATCCACTGCAACTGCTAAGGTTTTCTATCATACAGTTGTAGTTAGTGATCAGCTCCTGACAAAACTCTCCAATCACCTGCAACAAATGATGCCCAAAAGAGCCAAGGAAGCTGTGGAGAAGGGGGCATTTAAACAACAGGTGAGGTTGATGAAAATAGCTATTATATGTCAGGTGGAGACTGTACACTCTGCTTGATAATCTTCCAGTCGTTCCGTACCATGACTGGTGTGGGATACAGGTCGAACACAAATTTTCCGGCACCATCGCGGCTGGATCGATTCCGGACCAGCAATTTTGTTGAACCTTGGTTGATCGCGGCCCTAGGGGAGCTGTCACTCTCTTAACCTTCGACCCAATAGATATTCACCTCACTCTAACTCTAAAGTACTCTGGGCTGCTAGAAAATCAAAATGACATAACAAGCCATTATTAAAAGAAAATTAAATGTAAAATGGATATAGGGTACAGTGGTCCCTCGGTTAACGAACACAATTCATTCCAGAAGGTCGTTCATTAACCGAAACCATTGTTTCAATGGGATTTTGGGTAATTGGTTCCAGCTCACCGAAAATTACATACAAACTAAAAATAAATGCAGTAAAGTACACTTACTTTGAGGTGTGCATGTAGAAGGCTCCTGGTTGATGATGATGATGATGATGATGATGATGATGATGATGATGGGAATTGAAGTGGGGGTGGAGGAGAAGGGAGAAGAGAAGGCAGTGGGGTGGAAGAGAAATCACCCCATGCTTCATGCTGCCATTTCACCCATAAAATTTTAAGTTCACTAGGTGTAATTCAAGATTATTTCCTTTAAATCAACACTGCACTGCACTATATATTGTCAATATGTAAAATAAATTTCAGAATGACCAATAATTGTACTGGAAAAACGTAAAAATAGTTTATGTTCAAGAGAGTCTCAAGCAAGATGTTACCTCCACTGAGCAGAGAGACAAACTGACTCCTGCTGGGTGAGTCAAGTGGCTGTTTGGTGCGCTAAAAATTAGTTTCCTGTACTTCAATTATGTTCAATAATTGTTAAAATGACTAAAAATTTTAATATAAAACTTTTAAAATTATTGAATAGTACAACTTTCTTGATATTTACTCAAATGGGAACGAATTTAAGCCCTAGAACCGATTACTGTATTGGCGGACTAATATTCCAGCTGGTGAGCAAGCGAAAACATATTGAGAAGAATTCGTAAGGAATTCGTTAACCCAATTTTTTTCGTTAACCCAATTGAATATTCTTGTGGAAGGTAATTCGTTAACCAAGGCATTTGTCAACCGAGGGATCACTGTATATGGAGGTTTATTGTTTGCTTAGATAAACTGCTGCATTATTTACTTCTGAAGTTCTACCTTCTCTTGTATTTATAACAAATGGTGTTTACATTTTGCACCACCATTGACACATGCTGTTTTCTTTGAAGCCATATTTGGAGTTGTATTACCAGAAAACAGTGAAGGCGCTAAGCTGCTGCGTGTAAGCAAGTTTTGAGGAAGCCCGGTAGACTAGTAGCACCACCAAAACATCAGCGGCAGCTCAGTAAAACTATCCAGACCATCAGAGGTTTCAGACTAGTGATTGCTGTGCTGGAAAATCGGTGGTTGGCCTGTATAGGGTATCTCTCCAAATGTGAACCAGTGTGTGTGGAGAACTGCTGCCTGTTATCTTTGCCGCTTTTTTGTCACTCTGTTTCACACCTGTGTCCCCAACTACTCCCACACCCCTCCTTCCTTTAATGTTTCTGTTCCTCTTGATCCACCTCCAAACAAAAGTGGGAAGCCATAAAATATTAGGTATACTATCTTTCATCATAGGTCTTAAGTGTTATTGTCATTCTAACAAAAGTTAAAGATTTAGGGATGAGCAGTAATCCGAGTGTGTAGGTAAGAATTCTGAAATAACCATTTTGTAGGTGGTTCTGACAAACAGCAATTTGTTCCTGGGGAGATTATTATTAAAAGATTTCCCTTGTATTTGACAGGAAGTTGTGCAATTACTCAGCATGTTTATTTTTTCTTTGCTATTAACTCCTCTATTTCATCATTACTGTTTTATGTCCATTTCCCACACCTGGATGGGATAGCAGTAAAATTAATTACCCATTTATAGCTGGATGGATTGGGAAGTTTCCAGGATCCAATCAGCAACACTTAGTATAAGAGGCAAGAGCTGGATCCACTGCACTACAACACTTCTACTGAGTGTTTTAATTAGGTGTCATGTACTGTACTTATCATCTCTTGTTGCATTTTTGTATTCTCATTTTTTCTTGGTTACTATCTACCATGTTGTTTTTATAAAATGACTGCATGTAACATAATTTGGGGCATTCTTTTGCTCACAGGTTGACATTGGGAAACTGAAGCACCAGGAGGAGGAATTTGGGAGAAATAAGAAAGAAGAGAGACGAAAAAAGGCAGCAACTGGTAAGGCTGGAGGGGGCACACAAGGCCGTGAGACCAAGACCAAGGCTTCTAAGAATAAGTATAAGGGAAGGAAGGGAGCAGCTCATGATTCTGAGTCTGATGATGATGTCAACACTCACCCCACTACTGGTGGTGGTGGGAGACTCCATCAAATAGAGTTTATGTCAGAAACAGACATGCAGCTGTTGATCAGTGATTTTGAGGAATTGGCAGACTGTCCTGAGGAGCTGGTGGAAGAGTTAACAAATCACTTCCATCGTCCTTTAACTAAGATCTTCCAGGAAGTTGCTAAATCGGTCTTTATGGCAACTGTAGCAGTTAAAGGTGACACACGGAGGAAGACTCACCAGCAGCTGCAGGAGAAAGTGTCAGCACTGCTCACCACCATCAAACTGGCAGATAAGAGTGTTAAGGTTAGTGAGGAAAAGAAAGTCCTGGTGCAAAATAAGATTGTTAGGTTCATGTAGGTGGATACTGGGATTCTTCTCTGGGAACACCTGATGTAAAAGTACTAGAGCTCTGTATTGACAAACTCGATGGTCCTTTTCCAGAGTTTTGACCTTTTTTCTTCTCTTAAATGACACAGCAAGTCTAGGGGTTGTCAGGAGGGAGTTGTTTGGTAAGAATGAGCAGAGTAGTTCTTGCCTCACATGAGTTATGCTCAGATATACATACTGGTACAGTAGTTACATAGATAAGTGTTGACTACTTGACTCATATGACAACAACAATATAAGTACAATACAGTAATAAATACAGCCTCTGTAGTGTGTTGTGGATATTTAGGTTAATTCTTTACTTAAATATCAATGTCATATGATGACTGTTAAAAAGGTCTACAGTGGAGTCGCAATAATTCTTGAAATATGAATTCACATTCTTATTTTCACAGGTATCTTTATGTATTTTTATCTTTTTTTTTTTATATTTTATGGTAAAATATTTTCTACCAGTTCACAGCTGAGTGCCGACTGCCACAGTGTTTGTTTACATAAGAAACCATAAAAATTGTGGAAATGTCAAGTCATTGAACTAATTTGTCTTGGAAAGGAAAAAAATATTATATGAATACCTGTATCACTTTAATGCTCTAATTGACTTAGAAATACAGTACAGAAATTGTAATACAATATAGTAAGCCGTCCTCGAACGTGGGGGTTAAGTGCCTCGAAAACAGCCTGTTAGGGGAATCCATGTTTGAGAACCTTAATATTTAATGAGATTAATAAGAATTGATGAACACCACCACGTAAAGTCTCATCAGCTGACTCACAGGCGTGTGGCTGCCACCGCGCCGCGCTGGCTGTGTGTATGCCATGACGTCACATCGAGAGGGAGTGCAGCCACACAGTTACATACAGCCATAACCCACTGCCCCAACACATTCACTTCTCACATATACACTCTGATGCTCTTTATTTTTCTTATTTTTAGTTTTATGTTTTATATTTTTTTATTTCTAAACCACATTACAGCATTGTAATAATTTTTCTACAATTTTTATAGTTTCATTACAAGTAACAATACAGCTACTCCTCGACTTACGACACACTCGACCTACAACCAGCCGGACATACGGCCGCCTCAGTCATACCAAAATTTTGTCAAATTACGTATTTTTGAGTCCCAATGTTAGTGATTGCGCTGTGTACTGACAAAATTTTTGTTTGTAATTCACTTTAAAATGGCTGGCAAGCTTAAAAAGAGAGTTTTGTGGTGCTGAGAAGAAAAAAGACACCCATTTTAGATTTTCTATGTACAGGTATTATTTAAGCATTTTCGACTTACGACCAATTCGACTTACGACCTGGATTTGGGTCCCTAACCCCGTCGTAAGTTGGGGAGGAGCTGCCTACTGTATGAGGCTGGCGAGTCGGCCACATAGTTATTAGCCAAGGCCTTAGCTATAACTGCCTCAACACATTCACTTCCCACATATACACACCTGTGCTCTTCATTTGCCTAATTTCATAATTTTATATTAAATTATCATTATTCCTAAGCCACATTAGAGTATCATAATGATTTTTCAACAACTTCTAGTTTCATTACAAGTTGACAACATACTATACTAGGCGGACGGGCTACCGCTGCTGCACCCAGGCCACTTTGTAACACATCAAAAATTTAAATTTTCTCATTCTAATGTCATCACTTGGAGATAATGTACGTTTAGGGGCCATACTGTTTTTGGGCTTGTTTCCTCAAAAAATATGAAAGAGAGCTAAACGTATATTAACATGGACAGCACATCTCTTTGCCTGACTACAGCTTACACGAGGTTGAGGGAGACAGCTTGGGAGATGCGAGAGGGAGCCACGCTGAGTTAACTTGTTAACGAACTGCTTAAATTTTAATTTTCCATGTTCAGCAAATACATGAGTCGCATTTATTTTTGCCTGTACAGTGGTCCCTCGGTTAACGAACACAATTCATTCCAGAAGGTCGTTCGTTAACCGAAACCAGTGTTTCAATGGGATTTTGGGTAATTGGTTCCAGCTCACCGAAAATTACATACAAAGTAAAAATAAATGCAGTAAAGTACACTTACTTTGAGGTGTGTATGTAGAAGGCTCCTGGTTGATGATGATGATGATGATGGGAATTAGAAGTGGGGGTGGAGGAGAAGCGAGAAGGAAGTGGGGGTGGAAGAGAAATCACCCCATGCTTCATGCCGTCATTTCACCCATAAAATTTTAAGTTCACTAGGTGTAATTCAAGACTATTTTCTTTAAATCAACACTGCACTGCACTTTATATTGTCAATATGTAAAATAAATTTCAGAATGACCAATAATTGTACTGGAAAAACGTAAAAATAGTTTATGTTCAAGAGAGTCTCAAGCAAGATGTTACCTCCACTGAGCAGAGAGACAAACTGACGCCTGCTGGGTGAGTCAAGTGGCTGCTTGGCGCACTAAAAACTAGTTTTCTGTACTTCAATTATGTTAAAATGACTAAAAATTTTAATATAAAACTCGGAAAATTATTGAATAGTACAACCTTCTTGATATTTACTCAAATGGGAACGAATTTAAGCCCTAGAACCGATTACTGTATTGGCGGACTAATATTCCAGCTGGTGAGCAAGCGAAAACATGTTGAGAGGAATTCGTAAGGAATTCGTTAACCAAATTTTTTTCGTTAACCGAATTGAAGATTCTTATGGAAGGTAATTCGTTAACCGAAATTTCGTTAACCGAGGCGTTCGTTAACCGAGGGATCACTGTATTGTACTGTACTGTAGAAGTGAATTTGCATTGGAGGAGGGGCCGATTGTATAATAAAACTATATAATAAGAAAAATGAAAGTAAGTGAATTATTTGTTGTGGGAGGTAGGGGGTTGGCTGGTGGACTGAGGCCCCCCCGTTTATGAGCCAAGCGCACACTTCCGACTTCATTAATGCAACATGTAATTTCACCGTAATTCCCATATTATTTATTTTCATTTTGTACCTGGTTAATAAAACAGTATTGTAACATAATAAATATTCAACAAACAATCCCAGACTCAGTCCCCAGATTAGTTATTGTGTGGTATTACATTCCTGGTTCTTTGTTGACATAGTGTGGTCACAGCCAGCCTGGCACCTGTCTGTCTCCATGTTGGTACTGTATATTGGTGTAACCCACACAAACTTATGAGAACTACTTTTTGTACAATATATATGTGTTACTGTAGTTTGAATTGTATTATGTATGATGTTTATAAAGCAGTTTTGCAACAGTTTATGGGTAGTTCTTGGCCCCTTGAACCAAAAATATTATTTCCATTTAAATAATAATTTGCGATTTGATAATTAACGGTTTTCGGGTATTTACCTCCTGAATTTTCAAGAATCCGCTGTACACCTGGTCCCCGACTTACGAATGCCCACCGATATGAATGAGGTTAAACTTTAAATTTACAGTAACCCTCGGACCCCCTGTACTGTACTTGTTGTCTCAGCCCACTGTTGTTACTTTATACACTTGTCTTGCTTCACACTCCCATGTCATATTATTTTATCAACACCTCACAATAGTTGGAGTTGGGGCAATGAGGTCATTAAACTGAAATTTGTTTGGAGGTACAGTATTGATGTTATTATCTCCATGCAGGTATTTGATGAGGATAAACAATCACAACTGAGGAAGCACCTGTTGAAGACCCAGTGCTCCGAGATGGTTAATGAACTGGTCCTCTACCTTGCTGACGACAGCCTCATAGAAATAGCCCGGGACAAGGAAGTTACTCCGGAGGTAGGCTCTAATGAGTATTGGACAGAGAGTTGACCTGGGAAAACAAAAGATGGGTAAGAAGAGTGTACAGTATAATCCCGAAATGAATGGAGTAAGAGAAATGGGGGAAGACTGAGAAGAAGACAGAAGAATGAGGTGAGAGAGCAAGAGAGGGTAGTGGCAGGGATATCATGAGAACATCATTTTGCTTTTACTGTTGGAAAATATGATGTTGAGGGGTCTATGGGGGTTGACTTCTTACTGATACATAACTTATTTGTACCTAAGACTATATTTTCTTCTTTTTTAAGTTTTTGATATGCCTGTATTGATCAGGAAGTTGTGTCATCCAGACTTCACTCATCTCATACTGGGTAGTTTCTTTTATATAGTTTTGACTGGCCCTTGACATAGCAGTTGTAGGGGTCATGGTGAATATACAGTGTATGTGAAGTAAGATCTTTTGTGACCTAGTTTGTTGTTATCTTACATGCTGTAGTTAACAGTAAGATACAGATGACACTGACCACCTTATAGATTTATGTAAATGTAATGATTAAATTGTTCTACAGATTCGTCTAAAGATTATTAAGAAGTTATCAGAGGAAATGATTGAACCCCTGCAGAATGTCCACAAAACACTTAGTGGGTCCAGTGTGGAGGACTTCGTAAATGTAGTGGATGATGCCATCGCCATCACTGGCATTATGTTGAAGAAAAAGGACAACAAGAAGGACAGGTAACAAAAATCAGCTAGCAGGTACATTTTGTTGATAACCTTGACTGCATTGTCAAATGGATCTGAATCATAATAAATCTCATCCCAACATAAGCATCAGGTTAGGCCTCTATTCCTAATGGTAAGCTTAGGTTTGGATGAGGTCTTAAAGGAGTGTGACCCTTTAACAACTCACCAGTAGCTTGATATTGCTTAGTGTTCAAATTTGATGTCTTATTTTAAGCCAGGGTAGAATTGTATACGGTATGAGCTGCAAGAGTTGTCGAACTTGTCGCGACACCCTAGGCAAAACAAAATATATGGGTATCTATTGTAATACTCACATTGGTGCTAATACTTGGCAGGTTTCTCCTTCCGCTTCACATCAGCTAGGTTTTGCAGCCAGGAAGAGCATAATTTGGCCCACACCTTAAGCAAAATTGAAAAAACAAAAACATTCTTTTCAGATCAGAGAATTAGGATACAATGTGGAGTAAGTGTCATCGTCAACGAATTTCTCTTAGCTGTCTTTTATTTTTTTATTTTTTATTTATTTTTTTTAATCAGTTAATCCTGTTTAGTACATCTTGTGAAGCATAATCAGTGTTAAAAGTAAATATTTTCTCAGTATATTTTGTTTAAAAGTTGAGGTTGTGAGGAAATACTGTATCTGTGAAGTGTTTGTTTTTGTTGTTGCAGCCTTTTCCTGTTGCTTCCTGTACATCACTGTATTTTTGTTCCATTTTCCCCAACAATTTCCTCACTTCTTTGTATTGAAGTAACTGTGTCCTTTGGTCCATCTTACATAAAAATTAAAATAATACAGTACTTAAATTGATATATCTAATAGTCAGATTTACTTAATACTCATCAAAGTGAATTGGAGCCTATTATAATTACTGTACAGTCTAATTAATTCTTATTAATTATAAAATTGTTTATATTACTATTGATATTTTTATATTTGGCAGACAAGTGTTGGTGAACCACCGTTGTGCTCTCCTGGAACAGCTTGATGGAACTATTGATGCCCCACTAACCCTCCACCTGGCCTGCCTGGTCCTCTTTCAGGCAGTGACGGGGAACATGCTCCACGCTTCGGGCAAGTTTGTGCCTCACATCCTGGCTTACATTAAGAGTCATGTACCATTTGATAAGTTCTCCGTATTGCAAGAATATCAAGGTAAAGTATAGGATGGTACTGGTACATATATACCATCTGTAACTATGTCCTTGTCATATATAATAGGAGGCATTTGGTGTTACCTCTGTCTGCCCATCTGTTCCTGTGAAGCATTATTTCCTTTCGGTAACTTTAGAATGTCTTCACCAATTGAAATGACATTTGGTATGCATCTTTGTATCATGAATATATAGGTAAATTTCTCTTTACGTTTACCAGATATGATTCCTGTTCCATTTAGATATTTTGATGGGGATGTATATATTACCATCACTAATTATCTAGTCATATAAAATTACCTCATCATCATCACAGTTTTAAGGCCATTTTCATACAAAGGAGTGTTAGTTACAAGACTAGCGAGGTCATCCTAAAACTATATCTTGTGCTTGTGAGACCTCATTTGGATTACGCTGTTCAATTCTGGTCACCGTATTACAGAATGGATATAGAATCCTTGGAAAGAATGCAGAGGAGAATGACAAGGCTAATCCCGGGCATTAGGAACCTTGAGTACAGAGACAGGTTAAAGCATCTTAGTTTGCACTCCCTCGAGACACGTAGAGTGAGAGGCGACATGATAGAGGTGTATAAATGGAAGTCAGGGCTGAACAAAGGGGACATTACAAAGGTACTCAAACTATCCAACCAGGAGCGAACTCGTAACATTGGTTTTAAATTATACAAATTTAGATTTAGGCGCGAAATAGGTAGACACTGGTTTGGAACAAGTTACCAAATATCATCATTAACTCGAATACGCTGAATAGCTTCAAACATAGGTTGGATGCTCATATAAGCAATAGGGGTTGGGTGTAAATGGGACTGCCCAGTATGGGCCAATAGGCCCGCTGCAGTTTCCTCCATTCTTATGTTCTTATGTACTTGTGTAGGTTAGCCATGATTATTTAGTTCATGTTTGGGATGATATCAACCAGAGCAAGATGTCTGGTGCTGCGCACCACAGTACTGCTACACTTGTGTTGTATCAAAAGCAGTCCAGTGACCTCGGGCTGACCCACCATGACCAGCTTCAGGGACACCCTTCCATACACAACATGGCACTAAAACTGACTGGTATTCTGTACTTGATGAAGGAGCACCTTTTCAGGGCACTACCCTTATATTTGGACTCCTAAACTGTGAAGCAGAATTGCCAACCTTTAAAACTTGGTATCCTCTGTACTGTACAGGTAATGTGCCAACCGAGAAATGCAGCCAATACCAGGGGAAAGACAGCGCTGGTGTCCTGATTGCCAATTGGTAAATTAGAAGCAGGTTTTATGGCTGGATCCCCTCCCTGTTGCCAACCCACTCTTATAGACTGTGAATTGGACATTATATATATGACACCCAAGCACCCTCTTCGTTGGCAAGACAGAGTCTTAACTCCTTGGGGTAATCAAAGATAAGAAACCCTGTTCAGAGCTAAATGGGTAGCTGGGTATTGAAAGTAAAGGTAAATTTTTGTAGAGAGGGATACTGTGGTTTGGGCATGAGAAGAGAGTGGAGGAGACCAGTTCTGTCAAGAGGTGCACGGGTCTTAATGTGGAAGGGAGGAGAGCCAGAGGTATGCAAAGAAAGACATGGGGAGAGGTTGTGAGATATACTCATATCAGAGTTAAGAACCTGACAAGTGAGGCTGCAAGAGACCATGCAGCATAGAGAGTCACAAATCCCAGTTGTAGGTTTTGTCTTGTCTTGACATGAGTGAGAGTTATTCTCAGAACCAGGCTCAGGTATTAGGGCATGAAATTCGGCCAGTTGTTCAGAAATAATTGCTTTGTTATGGTAAGATCAAAGACCATATATAAAATATCATTGGCCCAGAGATTACCATCCTTTATTTTTCTTGTCATACTGAAAATGATCTGTAGGGGACATGGAAATTATCAGTCCATATGTTTGAGCTTACATCCAGGCATCTTTTGAGCACAGTAGTTTGAATAAATAGCAGAGGATTTTTATGAAATTTTCTATGTTGATGTAACTTAGCAAGATCTCAGATGAGTTAAGTGATCAGACATTAAAGTTCTGGCTTGAAATGTCCCTGACAACTAGGAGCACTGAACCCTTAAGTCGAGTGACCTGTATGGGTTGACAAAATCTTAACCTAGCTTGTAGAAATTTAGAAAAAATGCTATTTTAAGATATTTTCAAACCTCTTTTTACCATTACAGACTTAGTGATCAAGTCACTGACTACCAAGACTGACTTAGAAGCTGACAGTGATGTGAAGCTCAGACTTGAAACACTAACACCAATTGTAAAGGAAACAGCCATCACATTCAAGAAGGCAGCTGCCGGCTTACACAACACAGAAGAGTAATACTGTACAGTGTGTTTACAAGAAGGAAGAATTTTCTTGACCTTATAAAAATTTATATTTGGATGTCAGTCTGCAATGGTGTCATCTTTTAACTAAGGCAGTGATTATCATACCATTTGTAGAAGCTGAAACCACAGCATAATTTTAAGGAAAATTATCTTCTTGGTAGTCTGCTGTCAAGGCTGAATTTTAATGCTTGGAAAATTTGTACTGTAACGTGATGGTATTTGTATAAGTGTGGATATTGGTATTAGCAATTACAGTACAGTATAATTGACTTTGCCAATTTCAGTATTGGCAGAAGCTATTGTTTGGTGAGGTTGGATTATTTTTTTAGGAAATACAAATATTGACTGTTACAACATATTCTTTATTTATTCTTTATAATTGATATTTTTTATGGAAGGCATTTGGGAAATATCTTCTGTTATTCTGTTTGAAATCTATGGTATTATTCAATATTTTGGGTACCGGGCTACAGTATTTGTTATTGACGTACAATAAATAAAGTTGAAAGTTACTGTGATAAACAAAATAAATTCTTTGGTGGCTTTTTGTGAAAGGAGACACTCCATAGCAGAATGTATCTGTTGAAGAAGCAGTGAAGAGTGAGTGTATGTATGTGTTCCTTGTGTCTAGGTTTGGGACACCAGGAACAAGCTTGAATTATTACTCTTGTAAATACTGTACTGTACAGGTATTAAAAAAAAATCACACACATTTTATATAATTTTGGTCAGACACTTAAAATTTGGATGGTTCTGCTGGGTTTATAAAGAAACGTGTAGCTTCAGGATTTGTTTGTTTTTTCCCCAAGTGGAAATTATGATAGGTTTTTTCCTCTCATTTTTGTTGTGGATTTGAATATAGTTACATTATTTGATATCTCTTATTCCCATGTGTCATCCCAGAAATGAGTTTCCATTTATTCATCACATCATAAAATGTTTAGTGTCCCTCATACAATACTGTACAATACTTCAGTTCCCCCTCAAGTTTTTGTATTGTCAAGTGTCTGAATGATTACTCTCAGGATCTTGTCAAATATTGTACGTCTTTTTCCTCGAGTTATTTCTTATTACTGTATGACTAAATTCTTTAACGTTTGAGGACTCTTTGCTCTTAATAGGGAGCTGGTTTCAGCTCCAGTTTTCACTCTCTCATTTTGCCTTATTAAATTTGTTCCTAGTCCTGTGTGTAGCATTCCAGCCTCCTAAATGTTGAAGTAACCCCCAGTCTGACCTGGGAGGAATGTTTGTTTATATTACCATTATTTGCCATTGACAATTATGTACAGAAGCTATTAAGTTATACATAAATTATGATAGTTTACCAAAGAGACTGTATTGCCTAATTTTACTGAAGAAACTGTACGGATTTAATTTTCCAGAAGAGATTGTTTTACTGGGAAGAAATATATGGCTGCTCTCTTGGCTTTTTTTTTTTTTTTTTTGGACAGTTTAAAATTAGTTTTATCATCATGAAACATTTTGGGATGGAAATATTCATACACTGTACTGTAAGTTATTCCCTATAGGCAAACTGTCTGTACATTTTTAGGGGGAAATAAGAAGTCAGTTTCCCATGTACATCCTGCACACCATCTTTAACAGTTTTGTTATGAGATCTTCCTTGGCAAAATGTGTTAGTTACCCTGGTAAAAATAATTATTTTCACACTCTTGATAAGGGCTTGAAAAAGTGGCCTTAAAAGGGTGGTGGTGGTGTTTATGAAATTAGCCAAATACTCAACACAAGAAAGGTAGATTCTGTACACACTGTGGATAGTAATTCTCTTATCTATGCCCCCCCCCTTTTTTAAGATGTTAAAGATTCAAATCACTACAGTAACATCCTCTTCTTGCAAGAGACTCCTGAATCATGATGACTGAACCGGTGACTATGAGGGTCCTGATAGTAGGTGTTTGATCATTTTATAACATGTTAAAGTATTAAGAACTTGGCACACACTTTATTCATTCCACAGTGGCTACTTTGTGCAATGGAACACTCCGAATTTAGCTGAAATATGCCTTGACAAACTGGTCTTGGAAATGCCAATTTCAGATAGTGTTTATAAGAATTTATGGTGCAATTAATTCACTATCTTGTATATGATGCGAGTTGTTACTTTGGTCATCTTATATCTTGCTTTTTCATTATTGGTAAATAATATAAAGAGAAAGTCATTTTTATATATACACAATGTTGCCAGAGTACACATTGTCTGTCGTACTAATGTCAATACGGTGCATATATTTTTGTATGTACAGTATGTCTATTTATTTTGGTAAGTACAGTACAGTGGTCCCTCGATTAACGAAATTTTGGTTAACGAATTAGCTCTTATAAGGATTTTCAGTTCGATTACCGAACAAAACTTCGATTAACGAAATCCTTACGACAAACACGTTTTGTTGTGCGCATCAGCTTATCGGCTAGTCCGCCAATACAGTAATCGGTTCTATGTTTACATTCGTTTCCAGTGGAGTAAATATCAAGAAGGTTGTGCTCTTTAATATTTTTGCATATTTTATATTAAAATTATTAGTCATTTTAAAATTTAGTTAACATATTGATAATATATGCAGTACAGGGAACTAGTTTTTTGTGTGCCAATCAGCCGCTTGGCTCACCCGCCAAAGCGTCTCTGTTTAACTTTGTTTACAGTGGAGGAAACATCGTGTTTGCTGGTCACTTGAATACAGAGTATTTTTACGTTTTTATATTAAAATTGTTGGTCATTCTGAAATTTAGTTAACATATTGATAATATATAGCGCAGTGTTGATTTAAATAAAATAATCTTTAATTACAGCTAGTGAACTTAAAATTTTATTGGTGAAATTACTGCATCAAGCATGGGTCCCAACATTCTTCATACGTACCTCAAAGTAAGTGTACTGTACTGCATTTTGTTTATACTTTGTATATACTTTTCTGTGAGTTGGAACCAATTACCCAATATCCCATCGAAATAATAGATTTGGTTAACGAACGACTGTGGAACCAATTGTGTTGTAACCGAGGGACCACTGTATTATCCTTTATACCAAGATGATACATTTTAATTGGTTTGTTGAAACACTCCAGATGTTGATTTGTATTTCTTGAAAAAAAAATCTTTTCTTTAAATGTTTTCCATTACCCCAGTTTTAGGTGACTACCTTTTCATGTGTCCTCAATGTTATGGATAACTATGCAAAAAAGTAAAACAGTTTTGGACAGGTAAAACAAATATCTGTACTGTACCAAAGTCTCCATGATGATCTTAGACATTCTTCCCCAATAATGCCTCAACCCCCCAAAAAGGAGGAAATATGGTCAGTATAATAGGAACAGACCTCAGTAGTGTTATGGTGACCCCAGACTAAAAGTCAAGGTTCTCATTAAAGTTGTACTATTAGAAAAAGAAATCTGGTTATAATAGTTACAATTCTGAAATCAAAGTTGTTGTTTTTCTTATTTAAGTTTTTGGTCAAATAATCACCTTTAGACAATAATTGTTATGTTTTGTAGACTAACTGAATTTCAATAATTACTATTGAAAAACTAAAGTACAGTATAACCAATGATGTAAATAATTTATTCTTTCATGTTGATTTACGGATGAAGAGGATTTGGAAGAGCCTGGGATCGCTAAGGGAGGAATGCGATGTGGGATTTTGAGAAACCGGTCTATAGCCAAGCAGACTGGTGAGGGTTACAAACACCTCAGAATACATCAAATGGTCAAACTGTTAAGAGCTTCCCTCGCTGTAGTCCGGGAGCATGTGAATGAAATTAGACAAAATGCTTGGGAAACTATGACAACAGCCTGAACCAACACACTCCACTTAGTAAAGCCTGGAAAGATATAAACACACAATCAGAGGCAAAATCAGTAGACACATCTCTCATCCAAACCCTCTGCAAAAATTGAAAGAGTTTAAAAATAAAGTGGGCTCATTTCTCTCGCTATTACTTGTTACCAAATAGGACTCAAGAACTCCTTGATGCCAAGTCTATAGAGAGAAGTAATCTCATTAACTTTATGCTGGGCGAACAGCACGATAAGTGTGATGTTCCAAATACTGAGTGGAAGTGTAGTGGATACTCTCCCCTACAACTGCTGACTGATCACTTGCCGTTCCACAGACTAGGCCTCGCGCGCGGACAGATGTGTACAACTGCTGACTGATCACTTGCCATCCGCTTACCAGCCAATCAGCTGCGGGTTCAACAAACCAGGCCTCACTCGCGAACTGCGCGGTGATTGGCACCGCTCATTTCGCACCTCGCTCCTCTGATCCTGGGAAACCGTGTAAATACACCTGGACTTAGCCATGGAGAGCATTCTACTCTACTCTCCAGAACCAGCAAGACCTCCCAACAAGCTCCTCACCAACAAGCTCTCTCAACAAGCTCCTCACCAACAAGCTCTCTCAACAAGCTCCTCACCCAACAAGCTCCTCACCAACAAGCTCTCTCAACAAGCTCCTCACCCAACAGGACCTCTCAGCAAACTCCTCACCACACAACAACTCCCTAGCACTGCACTGTACAGTGTACATACAATATATATACAGAAAATGCATTGTGAGTTCCCTTCTTACTCCATCCTGAGTGTGAGATCTCTTACATGTACGTATGTATGTGAGCCTATACAAAGAGAAATAGACAAATATAGAGAAATTTGACAACTGGCCACATGCAGTACGCTACAGGAGCTTGACCCCCCCCCCTCAAGGGGTAGGCCTGTGGGGTTATGAGATATTGGTTCACACTCAGGATGGGTTGGAGAAAGGAAACTCACAATGTGCTCTCTGTATATATTGTATTGGATGTACAATGCAGCTTGGTGCTGGGGGGTGGCAGCGTGAGTCCAAGCGTGGTGTAGGGAGAGCTGGTTGGTGAGGGTGCTCAGAGGAGGACAGGCAGCTTGTAGGGCGCCATGGTCACCGGCGGGAGCAAGGGCCACCAGGCAGGAGCGGAGGAGGAGGTGTTGCTTGCTGGTGGCTGTAGGTAGAAAGATGGAGGTCACGGCAGGGGTGATGCGGGGGTGGCGTGGGTTGATAGTTGACCGCTTTGTTAGGCGGGCGCTGGTTACCACCTTTGACCCGAGGCGCAGGCTGGGGAATTCGAAGAGGATCGGCTAGTCAGCTTAATAACGGCGTTTGTAGGGGAGGAATCCATTACAGGTCCACTTCTGGTGAGGATGGAGTCACTTACAATATTGTTAGACTACTAAGGCGTGTGTCAGGCAATCCATGATTGGCAATACAATCAGTGCCGGATTAACCATGAGGCACTAGAGCACTGGCCTCAGGCCCCCCGACTCTAAGGGGCCCCCAAATCCAAACATTCTCGAAGTTGAAGCGTATAAAACATGAACTTCGTTCAACGATGTCCTAGCAACGTCTCAATTTTCTGTCTCTTATGAACATTAAATGTGTTATTTTGCAGAAGCTTAATATTGATGAAATCATTGATAAATTTGGGTATATTTTGTTCTTGTTATTTATATATACCTTGAGGGTAGGGGGCCCCAAGTTGATCTGTGCCTCAGGCCCCTATTAAGCTTAATCCGGCCCTGAATATATATATATATATATATATATATATATATATATATATATATATATATATATATATATATATATATATATATATATATATATAGTATATAATAATAATATTAATTATTAATAATTTGTTATTTTTTATAGTAATGTTAATATTTACATGTAGCATGTTACATGAAATATTATAATACATAATTAACCAAGACAACTTGAATTTTTGATTTTGTTTGTTTATTTCAATGAACGTAAACAATGAGAATGCCTTTTAACAGCCAAGAACTCTATAGAAAACAAGGTCATTTATTCCCCAAATTTATGTAACAGCATGACAGGTGATTCATCACTTGCAGTATTTATGTGATAATTGTGCAAGAGGAAAGATTGTGTTTTTTAATTTCTGAATTCATCTAAGATCTTGAGGCAATGGAGTCAGTGAAAATTATACAGTGGTGTTTTCATTCTCTCTTTATATGTATACAAACATACATATGTAAATGGAGATTGATATGTCTAAAATAATTGGAAAAAGTATAAAAACATCACTCATGACGTCACATCAACGTCTATGACGTCACAAATTGCTTTTAGATTCAGCCAACAGATGACGCAGTTATTGAGGTATCTGGCAGCTGTACCGTACACACATTATATATTTTAACTGGATCTTTCCTGTCTTGAGTACAGAATATTTACTGTCCGAAGCTCAAGAATTTGGAGTAGTTCTATATCCCTGTATTCCTATTTCTATAGTATATATTTTTCTGCAAATTTCTTTTCTTTATTTTGTACACTATGATATAAATTAATTTACCCTAAAATTTTGATTAAAACTTGTATGTACGATTTAGGTTACATTTATTTTTTAATTTTCCCTTGTTTGGATACGGTTTTTGGCGGGAAGAAGCAAGGCATCTACCAACCTTGGGAAGGAGACTGGACAAGCTATTGGCAAGTGGAGCTTCCTCTCTCAACTCCAGTGCCAATAGACACACAGAGGGGGAAAGTGCTGTCGGTCGTCTCTCACTTGACAGATGATGTTCGTAAAATGTGTAGTAAGTGTTATTTTCAATTTATTTAAGTGATTAGATTTATACTTGTGTGAAGGTCGATGTATATAATATATACCATGTAAACATGTCACTTCTGTATGTGTATGGGAGTGAAGTAACACTACAATATCGAAATGCGTAGATTATTTACAGGAGATTGCATTGCCTGTATTGATTGATTGATTTCCATCATGGTATAGTACATAATGAATTGAAATATTCTAATAACATTAAGTAGGTAAGTATAAGTAAAGAATGAAAAGTCTCATACTGAAGGCAGTATAGGCAAGGAATAGGGTCACTGGTTTTAAAGGAGTTATTCGTGAAACGTTTTCTAATTTAACACCGTCCTCACGCACTAGATGGCGGGGTAAAAATCGTACTGATAAAGGGTAATTGGTTACTGTTAGAGTACACACGAGCTACTCCTGAAGAGCGCCGCGCTTTCCTCTCACTCTTTAACCCTCATTGCGGGTTAACTTTTCCTTGCATCAAAACACCGCACAATAACCGCCTTACTCCAGGTCTTTAATTATTATGCTACCTTAGTGTTTTGTGGACGGTGACCAGCAGAGCTTCACCCACTAGCGGAACATTAATCAAGGTAAAGGGAAACAATCTCTAGTAGTTATGATAAACAGTAGACAGAAGGGGGGTCTGCCCATATCGTCACCAACCAGTTTCGTCACCACTTTTTAACCCGTTTCGTCACCGCATTCATTCTCATCAATATATATTGGTTGGGTATTTTTGCGTTTACACACCACACATTCCTACCACTAATCTATTATCATATTCAAATAAGTCGTCTAATTATAAGATAATTTTCATCTATTACATTACCTGCGGAAATATATAATAACGGAGAAAGCGTATCCAAAATTTTCTCTATTTTCTTCCATTAATCTTCCGCCATTATCGCCTACCTCACCTCTCACACTGCGTGTCTCCATAAATCATCACGCGCATGTGTTCCCATACACGTCACGCGAACACTCAAAAGCTTTTTTTTTTTTGCAACCAATTAAAATGATTTGTGGTTTAATTCGCGGTATTTTTGGCCCAATCAAAATCGATTTTTATTTGGGTCTCTCTTACGGTATTTCCAAATTCAGATTCATTTCCAACCGTGGAAGTCTGTGTTGGGTGTCACTTAAATTATATGGAGCTGATTGCGAGTTTTTAAAAAACAAAACATAGAAACTATAGCATTTTTTCGATCGCATGGTGTTCCTCGGTGAAGTGTCATAAGTGCAAGACTGAATGTAAATATCACAAAGACCAACATATGTGGCGTTGTGTAAGAATCTCAGAATCCAACGACGAACAAGAACCAGCCCAGTAAGGTAAGAAATAGGTGATTCCATTATATGGTGAGAGTCAGTTAGGTTAGGTTAGGTTTTTGTTTTTCTAGTGTTTCTTGGTGTATTTTTTATTCGCTTAGCCATTATTTTTTTCGGAAAACGTCCAACGAAAAAAAGAAAAAAAAAACGGGTTATTTCCGCCAGAAATGAAGGTCATAATCGGTCTAAACACATACAAATACACTAGAAAAATGTATTTTTGACTTTCTAACAGAGTGCGGTGTGACAGTGCAAATTTACCGTTGGTTGGGATAGAAAGTAATAAAAAAGACACGAAGACAATTTATTAAAGGTAAAAATAAAAAACGTTGTTAATACGCCTGCAATCATCTCGCTGCTGGGTTGTTTTGTGCGCTGGTGACAAATAACCTTCATTTGTTCTGTATTTTGTTTATTTACCAATGTTTTAATCACTCTATATTAAATAATTAGTATTCATTGTATAATAATAACACAATACTTCTCGAGTCGTCTGTATACATGTGTAATTTCTAAAGTTGGTGGTTAACGTGAGTCATTGTTCCAGAGTACAGTTCTGTATGGTACTGTATTACCTTTGTATTTTGTATACTGTACTGTAACTTGTTGTAATGCTACTTTTTGTGAATTGTATGCTTCTATTATACTTACAGAATTTGTTAAATAACACATTTTCTCATTAACAAAATTACTGTGATACAGGACTGTACTTGCCTCATATATTGTATATAATTTTTTCATACAACTGGTGTACTGTTTTTTAATGTAACAAGCACAAGTATAGATTCTCAGTGTTTGAACTTGCTTCGGATTTGACAAGTCGAATGTGACTCCCACAAATTTCACCTTTTGCACCCTGGAAAAAATGCAGAGCTTTTTCTGATTTTAGCAAGAACAAACCACTGGGCACATTGTTACAATGTATACAGTACAGTATCACTCAGTGGTTCAGTTTACAAAATTAATGATTATTTGAATTTTGTGCTTAAAATTCCAGTGCAACTATATTCTTAATTTTAATTTGCGAATACCTGTACTGTACTACTTTGATGGGGAAAGGAAGTCAATGGTTTATTAAATTATCCCATTGTTCCTGATGAGTTTGACCTTCATTGTCCAGTGTTAGTGGCAGAGGAAACTGGTGTACTGTACCTGAGACACCTGTGATGGTTGGTAATGTCACATTGGATAACACCGTTCCCACACCTGACCTGGGGATTGAACCTGGGATGTAATGGATCACTACTGCAGTACAGTACTGTACCACCAAAGCCAACACTAATGCAGAGAGAGAAAGGAAATGAATAACTTGGAATTTATTAAGGGAATGGTAAGTAGGTCATGGCCTCGGCTTCTTCCACAAATTAACAAAGTCCATCATTGTACTGTACACTGTTTGATATAATACTCAAAATTGGCAGCGATTATTCATGCTTTCCTATTAAAGTCAGACACAGGCTAGTTCTCAATGCTAAATAAGCAGAAACTTTAGATATTGTATTTTAGATGTTCTTAAATAGATTAATGGTGAGTATAAAACTTGCAGAACAGTACTAAATAATTTCTGACAGCAGACAATAAACTAACCTAATCTAACCTTTTGATCTTAGGTTATTAGCGGGAGACTTCGGTCAGGTTGAATAATTTGTAAAGGTTCAGTTTAGATCTTTAGCGTTAAATTTAAGGACAGTTTCTTCATTAATGCAGATGAAGGTAATTGCTACAGTAGCTCTCCACCAACGGTATCTCTCTCTTAGTAGGTACCATTTCTCCCTTCCTACCTTACACAGGGTACAGAAACCTTTCAGAATGGGAGGAGTTGAGATTGGAACAAAAGAAAAAGTAATGATCAGCATGTTAGCCTCTCAGTAGGTTGGTCATGTTTCTGTTACACACTGTTGGCAAATACTGTACCAGACATGCACTGGCTCCACAATGTACATGTACCAGCATCACTGTTGGTCAAGTCTGGTCTTATATGAGCTTACAGTAGGTGCCGAGACAACACACTCTGGCAGGTTATTCCATGAGTTTACAATTTTACTCCAAAATAATTTTCTCTGGCAGTTTTCTGTACTAGTGGCTTCTTTAACCTAAGGCTGTGACCTCTAGTGTGACAGGCATGTGCTAGTTCCAGGTATGAACACTGGACTGATGTGCTTATAAGTCTTTATAAAATCACTCTTTGCTCATTTTATTTTCAACTTACAAATGAAGTATACCAGTACAAAGTGAATCTCCAACCTCTGTAACTTAATTGGTATTGTGTTTGTCTATGTTAAGTTTACTGTACAGGATATATTTCTTTTCAGGTGAAAGAAGAACGTACAGTACAGTACAAGTAAACAATTATTACCATGTCACGTTTAAGTTCAATAGAGGCGGAGGCCCGTCGAGGTGCAGAGGTGGACGCTTTTCACGAATCGATTACACTTATACATGAGTGGAAGCCAACATCAGATGTGTATGTATTCTTAGACTGACTTTTTCAAACACCCAAAAAGTGGCCTGAGACTTCTATTGAAATACAGTACAGTATACTGTACTGTACTGTACTGCAGTCGAACCAAAAATACTCAAATCTAGCTCTCATAAAGAAACAAAATCCCTACTTCTCATACAGTAATGTAGAAAGTCTCACTAGCATTGTATAAATACTGTTGCATATTTTTTGTGAGCCTCTAATTTGTTTTTAGGGATGACATAAACCAAGAAATGGGACACATGTGAATTCTGTTTGAGTTTACAATATATTTGAAGCGGAGGAGAGGGTACAAGTAATCATCACCACCACCAATTTAGGCCATTTTCCACACTTAAATAAGTTAGCCATAATTACTTGATGGCAGCTCTCCAACCTTCATGGTCTCTTGCAGTCTCTCTTGTCAGGTTCTTATTCTGAGGGCATTACTCACAACCTCTCCCCTTGTGATTCTTGGCCTACCCTGATCTCTCCTCTCCTCCACATATAAACTCATGCTTTTCTTGCTCCAAATGGTCTCCATTCTCCCCACATCCCTAAACCATCTCAACTTACTGTGTGCAGAACCTCACCGATACAGCACACTGATTACTGTGTCCATCTGCCCTCAGAGCTCTGAACATGTTTTGCATCAGCATCAGTTTATATTCTCTTCCAGGGACAGTAATGTTGTGACAGACATTAAATGTTAGTTCTTTAAAGTTGGCAAATATTAAAAAATTAAGAGTAATTCCTTTCGTATCCCCTTCCCTCCAAAAGAATTTTGAACGTAGTTAACACACTGTACTGTAATGCTTTATTATACTGTATTTAATTGTTTATATTGTAGCTTTATGAGAAGTAATTATTGATATCATGTATATACAGCATTACATATACATACAGTACTGCAGTACCAAGTTCCTTATCTATGTAATGATTCTCATTGCACACAGGTTTGCATTGAAGAATTATATGTTTGCACTGTCAGCACTGAGCAGTGGCTCAGGTGCCTACATCAACAGTTACTACAGGAAAGTTGTCAAGCTGCGGAATCAGGCCTTCATCTCTACCCTGTTACCTGTGGTTATCTTGCCTTCCGTGGTGGCGTCTCTGCTGCACCACCATGTAAGACATTCTTCTGCTGTTGTAAATGACTTTATTTTTTGCCTTCTTGCTAATGAGCAAAGTACTACAGTAATTTGTTTGAATCATGTTAAATGGTTCTGCATAGATTATTTTAATATTCTTTCTGTTATTCAATTACTGTTTATTTAAATCCATTTTGTTTTATATACATCCTTCACTTACTTAAATGCAATAATTTATTTTTATTAAACTTCTTTATACTGTACACTGTACGAGTTTATTAGAACATTACAAAATGGTTTCAGGGAGATGTGCTTACCATCAATTTTCTTGTCATTTCCATCCTCCAGTATATTATTGTCCTTTGAATTTTATTGTGGGATGGCTGGGGACTTCCTCATCTTTAGTGGCAAATATCATTCACAAGTAAATGGGTGTTACTGTTGCTGTAGCTGGTCAGTGTGCTTCATGCCTGGCTCATTCTGGCATCCCTGAATATGTCTGAGGTGTTATACTCTATGAGAAAAAATAATTAATTTATATCTGCTTGCAGTTTGTTCAGCGTCCATTAGTGCTGCAAACGTTTCAGTGTCCAGTGTGTCTAGAGCTTAGGGGAGGAGCAGTGCAGTTTTTTGCTGGCTTTGTGTACCCTATGGTGCTGGGCCCCCTCGCAGCATTCCAGGTCAGTGCCGTACAGACGTCCAGGTACAGTACTTAAGAGGAATACCAAATTTCACTGGTACTTTACTTATTGTAGGAGTCTGGTTAATCCCGTGAATTTAATCGTAACCCTCTGAGTATAATGAATTAGCCCATTGAATAAGATATCTTAACCCCTTGAGAGTGACTTAACCCACCTACTGTAATCTCTTATATGCAGTGACTTAATCCACCTACTGTACTTAACTCTTTGAATATACAGTACAGCATTATTTGGCCTGAATGGACAGTTTTTGAGTTGGTGGTGACACCCAAAGGCCAACAAATGGCTTTTTGCAATCTGAATTCAGAATTGTAAAACATGAACTGATAAACACCCTGTATAGTGTTTGCCATGTATTGCAATGTTGCACAGGAAGGCCAAATTGCACACAGAACTACTAAAAATGCTTATGGGTTCAGTTGAAATTTGATAAGGCCCTCATTAATTAAGTGCAGGTTTGGTTTAGGGTCTTGTGAAAGCACAACATTTTAATAGTTTAATGGCTAAAATGTCGATGTACAATATAAAATATGGGCAGAGGATTGGTTAACTTAATTTAACAGTACTGCACTTGTTAGTTCCTGGGAGTAGAGGTAACATACAGCAAATGGAGCAGCTTCATTGACTATTGGAGAGGGAGGATTAGGGTTCATATTTCAAGATTTAACATTACATTTATAATAAATAAAGAGAATTTACGGTGAATAAGAATGTCAGTGTGGCACTTTGCTTGACACAATTACACAACCAATGGTCACCTAAATAATTATCACTAGAGCAGTACTGATATATAAAACCTGAGTATGTAATCCTTTTTCCTCATCTGTTGTTGAAATGGCAGATCTGTCCCTCCCAATATTGTATTTTAATTCCAGCCACTCAGTAGTGTTTACAATTGTATAAATTATTGTACATACTTGATAATATCTTTTAGCTTTCAACACAACTATGTACAATACAGTATTTTGAAACTAATGTTTTTCAATTTACAGTATCTACTATTTCAGCTTGCAACAAGTGTGCTGTACATTTAACTTCATGTATTTTAAGTTTGCATAAAGAAAGAGACAGTATTGTGTATTTAAACTTGTCTGTTTCATTTTCCATCAGATGTATATAGTGTTCCTCAAACTGTTTATTCTAGTTTGTAGCAAAACAATTTATTTAAACCTATGTACAGTATGGTGTACTATTGTATTCTAGTTTGCAACAAGACTGTACACTTATGCCCTACCAAGTGTCAGTGAACCTAAAGCATGGATCAAGGAGTTCTTCAAGATGACACGACCAGTACTTCCAAAGTTGTACGTCTTGGCTGGTTTACAGGTACTGTATGTAAGATTCTGTACAGTATGTAAAAAAAATAATTTGTGAATTAAAATATAAGCCAATTTACAGCTCTGTGAAGTATCCTTTACTTTTTATCTGTGGTTTGACACATAAGGAATGAGACTTAACACAAGGAGAACCAAAGTTATTATTTTTTGGCTATTTACAGTGGCATTTTGGCCCATTGAGGAAAAACAATTCACGAGTCAAATATTATTGAGGTGAAGAAAATGACCACTGTATGTAGTATCATGTTTTGGAAATGAACTTAAAATTTTCTTCTCCATTTTGTAGAACTTAATATCTTCCTGCTTTAAACAGCTTATTAGTACAGTTATAATCCTTGAGGCATGTTAGCATTTTTTTAACTAGTATAAACATATTCTTGCTAGTGTGCAGGTAGCTAGCAACAGCGACTACCACGTTTCCTGTTATTTGTTCTTTGTCTGTCGTGCCAGTTATGTTCTGTTATGGTGATCTCTTTCGTGTTAACCTCTGAGTACAATGACTTAACCCCCTGAGTATGGCCGTGTAATATTTCAATGTGATTCTGATCTTTAAAAATGTTAGTTTTTGCATAATGTAGTATTACTGATGCATAATTTGTCTTAGTTTGCCTTATTGTGGGTAAAAATATGTATTAAATGTGTCCTCCAAAAGCATGAATTTACTACCAGAGCTTAACAGTTAATTCGTGTATAATATTTCTGATAAACTTCCTCCTTGCTCATGTTTGAAATAATGAGTGTATTGTATGTATCTTTATATAATTTAACTAAATATCTTTCTCGTCAGAATCGGTCATCCCAACAATTATTAATAAACTCATTTAGAAATACTGTACATCATTACTTCAGGATGAAATCAGACTGATTTGCAAGAGCAAATCAGCTGTAACTCTTGAGGAGAGGGCAGGGCATCTCTTTTCAGCTGGGAAAAACCGCTTTATACTGTAGTGGTCAACGTGCAGGAAGAAATATCATCACACTTGTTGAGAACTGTACTGTACAGTCGGCCCTTAACATATGCGGGGGTTAAAAATCCGCATATATGTGCTGGCCCAAAAAAAAACCCTGGCCCCCATGTCCTTATTTACCGTATATACCTGTGTGTAGTTCGAGTTTTTAAGACCAAATTATTTGGCAAAAAATTGGGGGTCGACCTCTAA